AAAATTCAAAACATTAACAATAACATATAAAGCCATTTATAATTCTGCCCCAAATTACATCACCAATCATGTCTCCAAATATCACCCAAACTGTACTCTCCGCTCCTCGCACGACCTGCTGCTCTCTAGCTCCCTTTGTCTCCTCCTCCCAAGCTCGTCTCCAGGACTTTTCCAGAGCTTCCCCCATCCTCTGGAACTCTCTACCCCAATTTATCAGACTATTGCTTACTCTTCTCACTTTTAGGCGTTCTCTGAAAACCTATCTCTTCAGGGAAGCCTATCCTGCTGTGAGCTAATAATGAAATCTTCTACTCTTCCTACCAGTCCATCCCCCCACAGTTACTACCTTCTGTACCACTAGCCCCTCCCTCCTAGATTGTAAGCTCCAAGGAGCAGGGCCCTACTTTCCCTCTTGTATTGAACTGTATTGTTGCTGTATTGTCTCTCATTATATTGTAAAGTGCTGAGCAAACTGTTGCTGAGCAAATCCTGTATAATAATAATAATAATTATAACCATTTAGCCACTGGGCAGTACAGTAGCTAAATGATTAGCACTTCCTCCTGGCAGTACTAGGGTCGCTGGTTCAAATCCCAACCACGGCACCACCTGCCTGGAGTTTGCATGTTTTCCCTGTGCCTGCGTGGGTTTCCTCCGGGTACTCCGGTTTCCTCCCACACTCCATAGACATGCTGGTAGGTTAATTGGATCCTGTCTAAATTGGCCCTAGTATGTGTATGTATGTGAGTTAGGGACCTTAGATTGTACGCCATTTGAAGGTTAGGGACTGATGTGAATGTACAATACAGGGGCGGACTGACAACTCATGGGGCCCCCGGGCAATAGGGGATCATGGGGCCCCTGTGTCCTTGCCCAAACTCAAAAAAGCCTATGAAAAAGGTACCAGGGGCATCACATGGGGCCCCCATACAGACCCCAGGCCCTCGGGCAGTGCCCGAGTTTCCAAATGGTCAGTCCGCCCCTGGTACTATATATATATATATATATATATGTGTGTGTAAAGTGCTCCGTAAATTGACGGCGCTATATAAGTACCTGTAATAAATAAAAGAATAATAATAACCAAGCAAGGTCATACCAGCATGAAGGTAAAAGCACATGCAAAATCATTGTAACATCTTCCCATTGGTTATAGCTGGTGTTCTATATCACAGTAGGTGAACACAGAACGGTGCAGAGACCTACCGCATTTGTAAGTAAGGGCTTGTTCACACTTGGCTGTTTTACCAACGCTTGCCAAACGCCCCTATAGCGTTTGACAAGCGTTGGTCCGGCGTTTGCAGAGCGTTTTTCAACGCTCGGCAAACGCCGCATGCGCGGTTTAGCGGAAGTTGCTAGGCGTTTGCTGAGCGTTAATAACGCCCCACAAACACCTATAATGCAGTTTGAGTGGTGTTACCGCTCCGCAAACACCCTGCAAACGCGTCACAACCGCACCACGTCGCCGACCGGGCGTTTGCGGAGCGGCACCATAGACGAGAATAGGAGGCTTCAAAGCCTCCTGACTCGACCAGAGGCGTCCGTTTTGCCGCGACGCAAACGCTCCCGTTAGAACAGCACCATGTGCTGTAATGTGCAGAATTGGCAGAGGCGTTTGGGAAACGGTAAAAACGCTTCCCAAACGCCTCTCTGCCGCCTGCACACAAGGCAAGTGTGAACGTAGCCTTAGTGTGATTCCTCGTCTACCAGGGACAGGGGACTCGCTCACACCAATTACCAGGGACAGGGGACTCGCTCACACCAATTACCAGGGATAGGGGACTCGCCCACACCAATCAGATGTGAATACCAACAAACCCATAGCTGGAAGGATCCCCTTGTCGGTATCCTCTCTGGATGTGACACAGAATGGCTGCTATTCCCCTGTAGGATGCGAGTCCATCCAGAAGTACGGTAATTATGTTCCTTCAGTATGGAATGATCTGCACCTATATTTAGGTAACATTTGTCATTTCAATCGTCTTATTATCTGTCACCTTTTTACTATTTGTAACATTACGTTTTAAGGCGTCTATCTGCATTGCCAGGTGGCATGGAACTGTCAGCCCATTCATTTGGGTCTGTGAGTGTACTGTTGGGGGCGCTGTGTGCCCTATTCCTAGGGAGATAGTCACAACGAAGCCCCTGTCTGTCCATAGCGCTTCGGAAATGTCTGGCAGTACAGCCTACCTAGAACCACATCAAATATGGCTGCCGGAGGGCCGGCTGGAAGTGACGTGGTTCCATCACCGGAAGAAGCGACTGGAATACATTGGGACACAGCACTTCTGGACGGACTTGCATTGCGTGCGTTCCACAGCGGAATAGCAGCCATTCTGCGTCAGATCCAGAGAGGATACCGACAAGGGGATCCTTCCATCTATGGTTTTGTTGGTATTCACATCTGATTGGTGTGAGCGAGTCCCCTGTCCCTGGTAGACGAGGAATCACGCTAACTTACAAATGCGGTAGGTCTCTGCACCGTTCTGTGTTCACCTACTGTGATATAGAACACCAGCTATAAGCAATGGGAATATGTTACAGTGGTTTTGCATGTGCTTTTACCTTCATGTTGTTATGACCTGTCTTGGTTATTTTATTCCAATTGGTTTTGGTGTTGTGTTATACAGCCTTTAGAGAATAGATCCGCCCTCCACAAGGGAGGTACCCATGTGCATATATTGGGGCCTCAGTCTATATAAAAGGGGTGATCATGCAACATCAGGAACAGACTCTGAGGAAGAGTGGGTCCTCCCCTCGAAACACATCACACCAGAAACAGGCTCTGAAGAAGAGGGGATCTCCCCTCGAAACACATCACACCAGGAACAGGCTCTGAGGAAGAGGAGATCTCCCCTCGAAACACATCACACCAGGAACAGGCTCTGAGGAAGAGGAGATCTCCCCTCGAAACACGTCACACCAGGAACAGGCTCTGAGGAAGAGGGGATCTCCCCTCGAAACACGTCACACCAGGAACAGGGTCTGAGGAAGAGTGGGTTCTCCCCTCGAAACACGTCACACCAGGAACAGACTCTTGAGGAAGAGGGGATCTCCCCTCGAAACACGTCACACCAGGAACAGACTCTTGAAGAGGGGGGTTCTCCCCTTGAAACACGGCACACCAGGAACAGACTCTGAGGAAGAGGGGAACTCCCCCGAAATACGTCACACCAGGAACAGATTGAGGAAGAGTGGTTCTCCCCTCGAAACACAGCACACCAGGAACAGGCTCTGAAGAAGAGGGGGTTCTCCCCTCGAAACACGTCACACCAGGAACAGGCTCTGAGGAAGAGGGGGTTCTCCCCTCGAAACGTGGCACACCAGGAACAGGCTCTGAGGAAGAGGGGGTTCTCCCCTCGAAACGTGGCACACCAGGAACAGGCTCTGAGGAAGAGGTGGTTCTCCCCTCGAAACGCGGCACACCAGGAACAGGCTCTGAGGAAGAGGGGGTTCTCCCCTCGAAACGCGGCACACCAGGAACAGGCTATGAGGATGGGGGGGTTCTCCCCTCGAAACGTGGCACACCAGGAACAGACTCTGAGGAAGAGGGGGTTCTCCCCTCGAAACACGTCAGCCTTTTTTTTTTTTGGAACATCCTCTTGCATGTGGGACCCGCGCAATACTGTATACCATGAACTCATGTCGGACATGATATTCCTGTGTTCATTTGGCATTTGTGAGTATATATCTGCCAGTTTTCATTAATGGGCAGCACAGTGGCTAAATGGTTAGCATTTCCACCTGGCAGTACTAGGGTCGCTGGTTCGAATCCCAACCACGGCACCACCTGCCTGGAGTTTGCATGTCCTCCCTGTTTCTGCGTGGGTTTCCTCCGGGTACTCCGGTTTCCTCCCACACTCCAAAGACATGCTGGTAGGTTAATTGGCTCCTGTCTAAATTGTCCCTAGTATGTGTATGAATGTGAGTTAGGGACCTTAGACTGTACGCCCCTTGAGGGTTAGGGACTGATGTGAATGTATTATTATATATATATATATATATATATATATATATATATATATATATGTGTGTGTGTGTGTGTGTAAAGTGTGCTGCGTAAATTGACGGCGCTATAAAAGTACCTGTAATAATAATTAAGTTTTTATTGAGATAATATGCTAGGTTGATGTGCCCCTTTTATTTTGTTTTATAGTGCTTTCTTGGGCTACCCCAGCTCGTAGGGGGCTACACAGCACTGCACTACCGAACAGTTTGCAAAGATTTCTGAAGATTCATCCACATATGCTACATCCAGTCCTCTGTGTGCAGGAAGTTTTTCCCTTCTTTTGTTCTTTATATACCCTGTTCACACCACAACACTGGTATCACATGTGGATTTTTTCTGCACAGGAATCTGCAACGTGTATAAAACTAATTGAGGTGCTCATGAAAAGTGATGTAAACTGATGTCTCTACAAGTCAAATCTGCACATCAGTTTCCATCAGTTTTTCTGCACAAATGGTGTGAACGAGGCCTAAGGCTCCATGCACACAGGGCGCTTTAATAACACTGGTAATGTTAGCTGTGTAAAGTCACATTAAAAACGTGAGGTTTTTCAGCTTGCTTTTTTAGCATGTTTGCATTAGCGTTTAGTGGCGTTTTTCCACGTTTGCGGGGTTTTTTTTGGTCAAAAAAAGTCCACAAAATGCCTGTTTGCGGCATTTTGCTGCGTTTTTTCAGCATTAGAGCATTTTAACAGCTTAGAAACCCCCTAGTCCTGTGTGTTGTGTTTTTTTTTTTTCCAAGCCAAAAAACGTTGATTACAGTCTGTGTGCATGGACACATAGGATAAAATGCTGCTGAGTTTACTGGCTGTAAAAAAAAAAAACTTCAAAAACAGTAGCTGTAAAAACGTCCAGTGTGCATGAGGACGAAGACTGTTTTGTCTTTCTGTTATGAGATTTTGAATATCCTGGGGGGGGGGGGGGGGGTAAAAAGAGGACACGAAATAGCTAATAACATTTCTGTATGTCATTCTAGGTAAAAACTGCTCAGGATGGCTGTCACGCAGTTTCGGCTATTTAAGATTTGCACTTGCCTGGCATCCATTCTTTCCTTCTTCAAGAGGTTGATATGCAGGTAACGTTAATCAGGGCATATTTACAGTACATTTGCAGAACAGAAGCTGGAAATGTATTCCTTCACATGCCGCATCTGGCTCCACAGTCATATTTCAGGTGCTGGTTTGGCTTGACTACACAGAAACAATCGATTGTACCAGCAACAGAAATGCTGCACACCAGGATGCAAAATAATCTTCCTTTACTAAAAAAGCCAGCAAGAACAAGTTCTATTCTGACATGTTTTGTGCTAGGCACAGTGACTTCTCAAGAATGACAAAGCCCCTCCCATACACTATTATATAGAAACATTAATCTTACCTGATCACTAACCTTATCTTTTTTTCCATTCCTTTGTGCAAGACAAAAATATAAATATATACAAAAAAATAAAAATGTTCTGATTTTAAATATTTATTGCAGCTTTTGCATTGGAACACAGTATATTCTGCTACATCATAAAAAAAATCGAATGCAAAAATAAAATGTGGCTATAAAAAAGGAATACTTATAACAAATGCATTTGTATTCATTTCAACAAATAGGAGGAAGAGTTTTGTTTAACCCCTTCCTGCCCGCCTAGGTGTCCCATTGAAACAGTTCAAAACATATGGGGGGGGCTGGGAAGGATTGGCAATCATGTGACCACTATCACAGTGGCCACATGATCGGAAGCTGGTCCTACCAGCTACCAACATGTAGTTCGGAAAAAGATCTGTTTGCGACAGCTTGGACTTTGTGCTGAGAGCATGCAGTGAGTGCGCTATTAGCACATAAACAATGGCTGCCCAGTGTCGCACATGTGCGGTGTGTGTGCACATTAAAGCCCACCCTTTTGCTGCTGCACATATGTTTTTGGTGGTCGTAAAGGGGTTGAAATATAACAGGTTGTAATTTTGGCAGTTATGCTATTAGATTTCATGCTGTGAAATTGACCATTCAAACTGTAGAAGACAGAATGAGGTTTGAAAAAAAAAAAAAAAAGCCGCCCAAAGATTTGAGAGGGCAGTCTTTTTTTTTTTTTTGTCCTTTTCAGCCTGGCTTAACTGCTCATTCACCACAGATGGGATTAGCTAGTGGGTCTACTATAGAGGCATAGCCATTGCCCAAATTAACTACAGAATGCCATATCAGGAATGTTGTCTTGGCATTTCAACCCCTTCAGCATTTGGTCTGATATGTCCAAAGTCTTTAGAGGCAGCCATGAACTTGTTTCTGTTTTATGTAGCTGGCTCCTGGCATTTATGTAAAAGTGATCAGGGCGGCTGTAGAGATGAGTGCAAAAAAGTGTTTAAAAAATAAAAAATTTAAATCAAATAAACAAACTCCACCACCATTACCCCAAACACTCACATAAGACTGCAAACGTATGTGTGGGATGCACATGTGTATTTAAAAATAATGTGCCACACGTTTTATGTGCTGCCGCCCCCCCCCCCTCTTCCAACAGAAGGGACACTAAGTACAGGGCCGGGCAGGGGGCTGCTGTGTCTTACCTGGCTCAGGTCCTAGTCCCACGACGATCCAGTCCAGGAAGCGCGGTTGCTCCTTCATTCAGTTCAGCCGCTCCCTCACTCGATGTTCATGCAGCCGCTCGGCTCCGCCTCCTCACCGGTGATTGGGCGCCAGAACTGTAGCTCTGGAAAGGCACACAGTCGGCCAATCACCTGCGAGGAGGCGGAGCCGAGCAGCCTCACGAACATCGAGTGAGGGAGTGGCCGGTAAGTGTGCCGTGCAGATGGTGCTGCTGCAACCACGTATGCTGGCTGCAGCAGCACCATGCTGAAACGGGTCAGCAAGTGTCATTGGTGTCAGTGGGAGGAATAGTGCCCCATCATTGGTGTCACTGATACTAATGATGGGGCATTATTCCTCCCACTGACATCAACGATGGGGCACTATTCCTCCCCTCCCCACTGATCCCAACGATGGGGCACTATTCCTCCCCCCACTGACACCAACAATGGGGCATTATTCCTCCCCCCACTGACACCAACGAAGGGGCACTATTCCTTCCCCCACTGACACCAACGAAGGGGCACTATTCCTTCCCCCACTGACACCAACGAAGGGGCGCTATTCCTTCCCCCACTGACACCAACGAAGGGGCACTATTCCTTCCCCCACTGACACCAACGAAGGGGCACTATTCCTTCCCCCACTGACACCAACGAAGGGGCACTATTCCTTCCCCCACTGACACCAACGAAGGGGCACTATTCCTTCCCCCACTGACACCAACGAAGGGGCACTATTCCTTCCCCCACTGACACCAACGAAGGGGCACTATTCCTTCCCCCACTGACACCAACGAAGGGGCACTATTCCTTCCCCCACTGACACCAACGAAGGGGCACTATTCCTTCCCCCACTGACACCAACGAAGGGGCACTATTCCTTCCCCCACTGACACCAACGAAGGGGCACTATTCCTTCCCCCACTGACACCAACGAAGGGGCACTATTCCTTCCCCCACTGACACCAACGAAGGGGCACTATTCCTTCCCCCACTGACACCAACGAAGGGGCACTATTCCTTCCCCCACTGACACCAACGAAGGGGCACTATTCCTTCCCCCACTGACACCAACGAAGGGGCACTATTCCTTCCCCCACTGACACCAACGATGGGGCACTATTCAGAATAGTGCCCCATCATTGGTGTCAGAGCGAGGAATCGTGCCCCATCATTGGTGTCAGAGCGAGGAATCGTGCCCCATCATTGGTGTCAGAGCGAGGAATCGTGCCCCATCATTGGTGTCAGAGCGAGGAATCGTGCCCCATCATTGGTGTCAGAGCGAGGAATCGTGCCCCATCATTAGTGTCAGTGGGAGAAATAGCACCCCATCATTGGAATACCATACTGAAATACCATACCATATTGAAATCAAATCTGATGTTTTTTAATTTTTATTTGGTGTGCGTTGGAAGAGGGGTAGTCTTATACGGCGAGTATAGCCCAAACCCTATATTTCAACAGGAAAAGTAGGGGGTCATCTTATACGCCAGAAAATACGGTAGTTACATAGTTGGTAAGATTTAATAAAGACTCCAATTCCTTCAGTGTGTGTGTGTGTGTGTGTGTGTGTGTGTGTGTGTGTGTGTGTGTGTGTGTGTGTGTGTGTGTGTGTGTGTGTCATTTTCAATATACCCATCTAAGAGCTTTTTGAAACTGTTGACACTTCCCGCTGCCAACCCCGTTTTATGTAGGGTAATTCCATATCCTTACCACTCTGACAGTAAAGAACCCCCTATGCAGTTTACAGTTAAACTGTTTCTCCTCCAAATTTAACTGAGTGGCCGGATGACTTCTTAGGTCCCCTGAAAAAGAATATTTTTCCCTATGCTAAAATCAAATCCCTGCCACTTTCTCTTTCTTCTAACACTGAGACTCAGCATGGGATGCCTGCACGAAGGTTTTCTGCACTGCTCCTGTGTGAACTCAGGCTAGGACAAGCCTGGGTTCACACAGTAGCAGTGGGGAAACCACATTCCTATCCAAATTGCATGCTAATCTTTGCGGTGCAATTTGCATCCATTAACGCAGATCACACCACAAATGATCAGTTGAGGTATCGGATTATTTTCACGAGTATTCATGAAAGTACTCGGTATCGGTACCTGTGCATCCCTAGTCTCTGACGGAAACTGACGCACAGATTTAATTTGCAGCTTTTCTGCATGTATGGTGTGAACGAGGCCTTCTAGTCTTCTCTCATGAGTAGATACCCTTTTTAATGCATGCTAATAATCTGCTGGCTGTGCTTACTGCAGCTTGGTATTGCATGCAATGGCTGAGCCTGAGACCTACTAGGACCCGCAGATCTTTTTTTCATCCTCAATTCCCCCAAAGGTTCTCCCCCTAGAGAGTAACTTGCGTGTTTTTAGTCCCCAAGTACATTACTTTAGGTTTTTCAACACTAAACTCACTTGCCATGTGGTCGCTCACCCTTTATTTTATTGAGGTCGTCTTGTATTTTTTCCTGACACCAAGAGAAAAATGCTGACGGGAGGGAGCTCCAGCCAGTTGACAGCCTGAGCTCTATTCCTGTGTGCTGGGGGATGTGTCTCTTTCCTCCAATCAGCTTTCAAAGCTCTCCTCACTGAGCTCTTCGGTGTGTAATTTCAGCTGTCCACCTTGTTTTCTGAGCTCTTAGGCAAGCTTTATAAATTCAGCCCTTTGAATGGATGTAGAGAAAAGAATACTGAAGATAAATAGGTTGAACTTGTATAGGAGGATTTGTTTAATCACCTGGGGCCAGTCATTTCTCTGGATATATGTATGGGTTTACAACCACTTTAATTACCTGAAACAAGCATGCAGAACACTGGCTACATGCTGCTTCTAGTTTTGTGACTAGTTAAAAAAGCCAGCGCCAGGAGGAGAACCCTGCGTCTTCTAAATTAAATTGTTTAATTGCAGCCTGTGTGTTCTTTCCTCAAAGGTTTACTTCAACATCTAGAGTATTATGTTCAAAGTATTTACAAAATTATTTTGCTGCTGTATTTTGAGTGTTCTTTTCTGATTTTGTAGGAGTTTTTTTATAGATATTGCTTTTTGTTGCTTTTAGTCATACTTCTTACACTTTTTTTTTTTTTCCAGGTCAGGACGCGGTAGAAAACTTAGCGGAGATCAGATAACATTGCCAACTGCAGTAGACTACTCATCTGTTCCCAAACAGGTTTGTCTGTTTTCCCATGTAAACCATTAAAATTTTGTATACAGAAATAATGTATACTTGTTTAATAGCTCTGTGCTTTGTTGTGACTGTGCAATGGAGAAAAACCATGGCCACCTATTAGACTGAATTGCTTAGGTGACTGCAGTAATTGAAATTGGGTTGGATGCCACGGGTTACTGCATTCTACACAACCAATGCACTTTGCATTATCCAATGAGAAGCAGAAGGGGGTGGCCTGAAGAATCAACTTCCTAGGTGAAGATGGTGTTTTCCATTACAAATAACTGTACTTAAAGCAGAATTTCACCCGTACAGAAAAGTTTAACTTTTCTGTATCCTCCTCTTCAACTTTTGGACATCTTTTTTTTAGGGGTGGTAGAATTAGAATACCTGTCATAACCTGAGTACCTGCGCCCACTTCTGCCCAGATCGCCTAAGCGATCTGAGCAGAAGTTCGGGCCCCCTTCTCTTTCTGCTCACAGCCTCTTGGGACATGTCACAGGTGCCAGAAGGCTGCGGGACCATTCATGCAGCGCACTTTGTGCAGTGGAGAGCTGGCTGTGAAGGCGGCTTCTCACAGTTAGCAAGACAGCACCAAGGACCCAAAGAGCTGCCAAGAACCAAAGTACCGGCCTGGGTGAGCACAGAGATGGATCCTTGGACAGGTAAGTGTCCTTGTAGTAGTATTATTATTAAAATGTTACTAAACCCAGGGCCCTGCATTCACTATATTTGGTCTCCCACAGAACATTGAAATGCAATTATTTTAGTAATTATCAACTGCTAAATACCTTTTCTCATCAGCAGTTAGAGCAGTCTTGTGACTTCAGCACAGGACTGGTTACAGCTTGTAGGAGGAGTTTTCTTTCTGCTCTAGGAGGATGCAAAACCCCTGACCCTCTGTCTGGACAGTGCTGATTGGCCCTGTGCTGATCACATGCACTCTCCCAAGAAAAAAAAAACAAAAAACCTCTCTAGCAATACACACTAAACTGAGCATGTGCATGTGGCTATGGGTTCAGTCTGTCTTATCAAGTGGACATTTGAACAAGAGGAGGAGCAGAGAAAACAGGATCAAATGTTCTTTACACAATGCAGAGGATTAACCCCTTAGGTTCCACAGTGAGTATAAGAAGCATGCTTTACTGCAAATACAGACTGATTTTATTGTTGTGGGTTTAGTAACACTTTAAATATTTATTAAAAGTCATATTATATTTTATTAAGTCAGCAGCTGCAGTATTGGAGCTTCTGGCTAATTTTAATTTGGGAAGGAACTGAAGAACCACTTTGATAAAGTTGCACATTCTATAGCTACTAGCTGGCCATAGACATGGAAGACAAGTCAAACATGATGTGGCTGTTTCGGGGCGGACTGACTATTTGGAAACTCGGGCACTGCCCGAGGGCCCGGGGTCAGTAGGAGGCCCCATGAGATGCCCCTGGTACCTTTTTTTCATAGGCTTTTTTGAGTTTGGGCAAGGACACAGGGGCCCCTTGATCTCCTATTGTCCGGGGGCCCCATGAGTTGTCAGTCCACCCCTGTTCTCCCTCTGTCTTCTGTACCACATTTGGCTCTAAGCAGGAATGCTAGAGCTTCATCAGCGTTCCTATTTATACTAATAAAGGAGAAATAGTTTCACCATGTACAGGTGTTCCCCCATTTCTTGGGAGAATCAGCCAAACCGTCCTTTGGCAATCTGCTTAAGATCCTTATCCTGGTCTTTCTGAGCCCCCCTCTCCCCTCATCCCAATGTACATTAGTTTACAACCTGTTCCATGACACTGTCATGTAATATTTATGTTCTCCTTTATTCAGTGAAGCTGCACAAAGTGTTGTAACTACAGCAGCCTAGCAGTAGAAAGTGTTATAACTATTTCTACCTATGTGATACCAGTTTACTGTAGGCAGATCATTAAAAAGAAAACTTCTGATTGTGTGATTTCAGCTTACTAAACTTTGAGCATTATTTTTGCAATGATGAATAATGCCAATCACAGTCTTAATTATGTGAGATCTGATCATTCAAATATATATGGCATTCCTTGCTGTCCCAATTAACAGGCTCATTTATTCTGTAGGAAGTATTTTGGTTCCTTGTAGTTAAGGTGTATTTAAATGCTAACAGTAAACTTCTCATATTTACACCCCTTTTGTCTGATAAAAAAAGGTAAGGACACATTGGAGCAAACTTTCCTTACCCTTTTGCCCTTGCCCCCTCAGAGTTCCATACTTGCCTAGATCACACCACTGAAACCCACAGTAATGTTTACCTCCACTCCCCTGCTTCTTGATGTCTGTGTGCATTGAAATCACATAGACATTTATGGGGGGGGAGACTGAGATCCAGGCCTCAACAGGCGCAACCCTGTAAATATGGAGCTCTGAGAAGGACCGGGGGGGTAGTTTTGCTTAAGGTGGAGGAGTGGCAAACTGTTAATGAGTAGCCTTCAAGAAAAACACAAAACATAAATGGAATGCTGATTATAATGTGGGACATTCATTATAGTAGTCATATTAATTACGACCATTAAAGGGTAATTCCACCTTTTATGCCTAAAAATAAATAAGTAAAGGCGACTTCCTAACACCCTCCTAGTTATTCCTGCCCCTGCTGCTCTTTTCTGCATGTGTTGGGGAGGGTGTTAAGAATTTAATTTGATTTTTTAGGTATTAAGGTTACATTACATTCGTAAATGTCTAATCTAAAATCCGACCAAGTTCTAGAATTAGTGTACATGAATCCATCACAGAAAGAAACTATTTCAATTTTGTAAATGTAAAATAACTGGCCACACATACAGCAATGAGTAGGGAACCATGATGAGTCTCCATGCAAACTCATTTATAAATTGTAAATTTGGTCTGCAGAAAATGTATGTGTAAATAGACACAGAAGGTGAGACAGGAGGGGACTTTTCTGAGTGCACTGAACATGGCCAGGATTTCTTTAAAGTGGTTGTAAAGCTCAGATGTGAAATTTGAACAAAACATATCCCTCTATAGTGTGTACTTGTCTCAGTACAGATTTTTTTTGTCTGCTGCCTCACTCCTTTGTTATCTGCATAAGTCACTTCTGAAGAGTTTTTTTCCTGACACCAAGAAAAAAAAATGGTGACGGGAGGGTGCAGCCTGCGATTGACAGCCTCAGCTTTTGTTCCTGTGTTAAGGGGGAGTGTCCCTTCCCTCCAATCAACTCTCTGAGCTCTCCTCTCCTGAGTCTGACTTCAGCTCCCCACCTCCTGCTTTTCAGAGCTGATAGATCCTGTGCAATTTCTGCACTTTAAATGGATGTAGAGGACAGACTACTTTTGATAAACAGGTACAACTTACGTAGGGAGATTTGTTTCATTTCTGTGCATCACCTGAGGCCAGTCACTTCACTGGGTATATGAGGATTTACAACCACTTTAATAAGGAATGAGCATTTCCTTAAGGCCTCATTCACGCTGGTGCACGTAAGCCTACACCCATGCGAAGGACAGTGTTCTGTGCACACAAGTTCAGGCAGTCCTGTTGATGTCAGTTGGGACACAGCGGCTGCGCAGAGACAGATGCTGCTTCCAGGTTGACATCAGAGCATGTCCAAGAACTTTCACTTTCTGCATTCAGGGACACGGACCAGCATGAATGTCAAATTGGGGGAAGAGGCTGTGTCTGTGCAGCCGCTGCGTCTCAGTAGACACGTATTGGACTGCCTGCATGTAGATGCATGGAACACCTGTGCATCCCACACAGGCAAACACATGTGAACGAGGGATAATGAGGGCACATATAGCGAACGTGTACAGGCTGCCTTTACTGACCACCAGAAAATGTTAGCTGTTTGGCATAGTCCATGTTACGTCAGAACTATTAATCTCCATGCTTGTTCAGTGGCCGGGGGAAAGTATTGCAGGTAGTGGGCAGTCAGGCAACTAGCATTTTCAGGAGAAGATCAGCTGTGATGACCTCCATATTACCACCTGTAAAAGCAAGGCATAGCTCTGTACAATTCATTTTTTGTTGATCTCATAAAGGTGGAGGAATGGAGCTCTTGGGATGATGAAGCCCCCACAAGTGTGAAGATTGAAGGAGGAAATGGAACTTTAGCTTCACAGAATTCAGTGGAGCCAGAGGAGCCTGACTACTTCAAGGATATGACACCAACCATCCGGAAAACCCAGAAAGTAATGCTAATTTCCTCTCTGTTCCATGTTCTTTGTATTATGTTGCTATTCTCCATTTGGAGCCAAGTGAAGTATTCATAAGTTTTGAGTATGTGGGGTAGACTCACTCCTTTTCTTCCTACATGACAATTCTTCACTTCATAATTGGCCACTTGGACACCTAGCAGTGTCCCATAGGGGTGACGAGAGAGACGTCCTGTGTAAGCAGCTGATGGTTAAAAAATGAGAACTGTTCAGCTAGATCAATCTGTTCAAGATCTGCTGCTTGTAAAAATGTAATAAATGTACCCAGCTTAACATTAAAAAAAAATGTGCATTGGAGCCGGTAAACTATAGCAGCTGCAATCCGTGCATCATGGGTGCAATACACAGGCTCCTGCAGACTGTTTTCCAAGCCCCAGCTTTGTACAGAGATACGGACTTTCAGTTATGTGGAAATTTACAGCGCAGGGCCAGATGGGACTTGTAGTGGATGGATGATGTGGCTGTGCAGGGAGAGATTGCACAGCTGCCCTAAATTCAAAATAGGTGTGTAGAATATGGGAGAAGAACCCATATTCTAAATATGGATGTCACATGAAACATTGTCAGAAAGCTGGACTGTGTTTATGTGGCTGCATAATAAATCTGGACTTTCAAGCCTATGAGAACACAATGGGGTTTATTTACTAAAACTGGTGCAACAGCTTCCAAGTTTTATTGTCAAACCTTAATGTGCTACTAAACCCAGGACCCTGCATTTACTATATCTGGTCTCCCACAGTACACAGGACATGGAAATGCAATCATTTTAGTAAATATAAAACTGGTAAATACCTTTTCTCATCAGCAGTTATAGCAGTCTTGTGACGTCTATCAGTGTCCAGCCAAGCACTGGTTAATATTGTAGGAAGTGTTTTCTTTGTGCTCTAGGAGGATGCAGAACCCCTGACCAGTGGTGTATTTTGGTTTTGTGCTGCCCTAGGCAAGACTAAAATCATGTGCCACCCATCTTAATTTGTCCCACCTTTTCCTGTTTAGGGTTCACACCTTTATCTGTAAACTCCGCCCCTTCCTCTTTAGCCTACAGCTGTACTCCTAGGTAACAATAGACCCCCTGTACACCTAGGTAACACTAGACCCCTTGTACTCCTAGGTAACACTAGACCCCCTGTACTCCTAGGTAAACACTAGACCCCCTGTACTCCTAGGTAACACTAGACCCCCTGTACTCCTAGGTAACACTAGACCCCCTGTACTCCTAGGTAACACACTAGGCCCCCTATACCCCCTGTACTCCTAGGTAACACTAGACCCCCTGTACTCCTAGGTAACACTAGACCCCCTATACCCCCTGTACTCCTAGATAACACTAGACCCCCTATACCCCCTGTACTCCTAGGTAACACTAGACCCCCTGTACTCCTCGATAGTAACCAGTCATTATGCTTCTGAAGGTAGTGAGAGTTCACCTTCTGTCCTAGTCCCCTTCAACCCAGCACAGAGCCCCCTTGTCTGTGTCATTGCCTCCCATTCCCAGAGTCCGAGCCCCCGATTATCAGAATCAGATTCCCCTATGGCTGAAGTCAGAGCCCCATTATTAACAGTCAGTGTTCCATGTCTCATGTGCTCTGTGAGGGAGGGCAGAGGTGACAGCTGAGCTAATCTCACCAGTCTCAGAGTCCGGACAGCGGTCAAGAGGACACCTCCAGCATCCCACCTCAGCTGAGGAGATACCGGCTCCCTGGGAGAGCCCTCTGTGGCTCTTCTGAGTGGTCCTATCGCTCGGTAGATATGAATCCTCCAAACGAGGGGAGGGGGGGCGCACATGGGGCGATTGGCTCTGGTCTGATCTTCTCCCCGATGCCTGGTTCTCCTGTGTTCCTCTTCTCTGCACCTTCCCCAGGCGGTATCTCTCCTCCCTGCTCCAATCTATGATCCCCCTCCAGCCTTGATTTGCCTCCAGCCGGTTTCTGGGCCCTTCTGAATGCAAAGTGTCCTCTGATTGGATGAGGTGAAGAGGCAGTGCAATGACACAATAATTTTCCCCTTGTCCAATCAGAGTGTGCTTTGCATTCATTGAGCTTGACCAATGTAACTATGCAAAATAGTACATACCTAAACTTCAGCTTTAATCTGAACTCTAAGAACTTCACTGAAACCTTGAGTTAAAATGAATTCCTGAAACCTCTCGGCACAGCCCACCCCCTGCCATTCAACTTTCAAATGCCAGAGCCTTTAACTTGCACTGAATCTGTAGAATCTTGGAATTCTGTGATGGAGTGCTGAGCTCACACCAGGAATAGATGGGGCTTAAATTGGAACTACACTACATCTGAGCACCACAAACTGAAAATGTGATTGAATTCATCTTTTAATATTCAAAGCAAACTCACAGATCCATCCATGTCTCCCTGATTTATTTTGCTGAGACACCACCCCCTAGCATTTCTAGCTGTGGCCATCTTGAGTAGAGGCAGAGGATTCAGCTGCCCTTAGCTCAGGCATGCAGGCAGGACGGAGTCCACAGAAAAGTAATAGGGGGCAAATATTCCAATGGGGACGGTATTCCTGGTGACTTGGGGGCGGGGGGCTGCAAGAGATTTCCTTCATTTGCAGGAATTTTCTCTCACTTCCCGTTTTAGCTATGGGCCAGGAAGTGAAAGAAAATCTCACCAATGGGACACATATGGCAAGAAATAACCTGGGTTATAACCCTCCCTTACTGTATCCAAAATGGGGGGGGAAAAAAGTTTTGCCTATAGTTCTGCTTTTAAAATGGTCAATAGAGATCATAATTGGATTAACTACTTACTGTGAATTAAAGTGGTTCTACGGACACTTTTCTTTTTCTGAAAATAAAGGAGAGGTGTACACTTACCAATATTGCACTGGGTAGTTCCTTACCACTTTTCTAACGATCCCTAACTTCTTCCTGCAAGTGTCCCTATCGCAAGCCGTGTGCTGTGGGGGCACCCATGCGGACAAGCTCCTGAGCTGGGCTATGTGTGTCTATAGACGCACACAGGTCAGCTTGGCCACGCCACCGCTCTGTCCTCGCACAACTTGACTGACAACAGCTAGAGCAGCATGGATCCTGCTGCTGTGTCTGTCCTGTGAGATCAAGAAGAGAGACCAGCGCTGCTGCAGACGGACACAGCTCTGGATCGAGAAAGGACAAGTAAGTATTTGGGGGCGAAAGGGAGCAAGTAGTGGGACTTTTTTTACTTTGAATGCATGAAGTGTAAAAGGATTTGACTTTAGAATCTTTAACAATTTGTAGTGTCTCCATTGTGTAGATTTTTTAAATATAAGTGGAGTTTTTGTTTAAATTGACTCTGTTGTGAGAATGGTATGGGCCTGCCATTGCTGACCTCTCCTTTGAGGATGTTGGTCCCCCGACTGTCTTGCTGATAATTTGGCTCCGATGATTTCTGAGTGTCTTACAATCATAGTGGTAAGGAATTCTCGGTTACAATAGGTTTGCTCCGCATCTGCATAGCCAGGGACAGGCAACTAGTATTTTTAACAGAGAAAAGAAGCCATCAGTTGCAGCTCAGGCACTTATTGGGGCAGAGTCACTTTAAACTCCGCATGTACACATGGATCAGCATTGCACTGACTTCCCTGATTTCTTTATGCAGATTGTGATAAAGAAGAGAGAACCAGCCAATTACAGCATCCCAGATGGTAGCATGGGCTTCTCCAGCAGACTGGCAGCCACCCAGGATATTTCCTTTATTCATCAGTCTGTAAGTAAATGTCTTTCTTTGTTCTTCATTACATACATTGATGTTAGCTGATCTTTTATAATCACTGAAGTGTTTTTTTATTGAACAGTTTTTAGTGACATTTTAGATAAAGACCAACCATTTAAAACTGCTGTTCCAGTTATGAGTTTATACATTTCCCTGGTATTTGAGTGATGCCATCTCTCCAAAGTTCAGCATTCCACCCCCACACCTGTGACCATCTGAAAAGTAACTGTTGATGTCATACTTGTCCTAACAAATTCTCTATAGGGGGCAATGTCACACAAGCAATCCTCTAATACAGGGGTCTCAAAACTTTCTAAACCGAAGGCAGTTCACTGTCCTTCAAACTTTAGGGGAGCCGGGACTGTGACCAGTGGGAGTAAACTATGCCATATCATGGGTAATAAAGGGAGTATTGGTGCCCCTTCATTGTCAGTGGGAGGAATAGTGCCCAAATCATTGGTATCAGTGGGACGAATAGTGCCCCATCGTTGGAGGAATAGTGCCCCGTCGTTGGTATCAGTGGGAGGAATAGTGCCCCGTCATTGGTGTCACGTGTGGGAGGAATAGTGCCCCGTCGTTGGTGTCAGTGGGAGGATAGTGCCCCGTCGTTGGTGTCAGTGAGAGGAATAGTGCCCCGTCGTTGGTATCAGTGAGAGGAATAGTGCCCCATCGTTGGTATATCAGTGGGGCGAATAGTGCCCCATCGTTGGTATCAGTGGGGCGAATAGTGCCCCATCGTTGGTATCAGTGGGGCGAATAGTGCCCCATCGTTGGTATCAGTGGGGCGAATAGTGCCCCATCGTTGGTATCAGTGGGGCGAATAGTGCCCCGTCGTTGGTATCAGTGGGGCGAATAGAGCCCCATTGTTTGCGTCAGTGAGAGGAATAGTGGCCCATTGTTGGTGACAATGGCAAGAACTATGCCGCACTGTTGCTGACAGTGGGGGGGGGAAATGCCCCAAGGGCCAGATAGAAGCAGCCACAGTTTTATACCACTGCTCTAATAGCTGCCAACAGTTCAAACAAATGGGAACTGCCCCAATCTATAACTGGCCTTTGCAGCAAGGAGCACATAGAAAGGTGACTCATGTCAAACAGCAAAAAAGAAAAATCCCCAGCTCAACTTACTGATCACCCTGCAACCAACCGAATTGTCCTGTCCAACAGTTTGCATTAAAAACGGGTTTAGTTTGCAAATACATGCGTAAGCTGCAGAGCCTCTTCACCACACCCTGTTGTTTTCTGCAGTCCTAACTCTTAATTTTGAGAGCCTCCATAGTAGAAGCACATGTATCATAATGAATAGACTGAAGGCAGATTAGCCCGGAGAGAGCCCACCCCTCCTTAAAGCGGAGTTCCACTCGCCCGGTCAAAAAAAATAAAAGTCAGCAGCTACAAAAACTGTAGCTGCTGACTTTTAAAAAAACAGACACTTACCTGTCCCTCGGTCCCGCGGTGTGTGTCCCCCGAAGCCCGTTTCACCAGTCGTCCTGTATTCCAGGAGGCCGGCATCATCAGTGTGGGCACCCAGCTGTGATAGCTTGAGACTTCACAGCCGGGTACCCACTGCACATGTGCGAGTAGCGCTGCGCTTCATGAATGGTCCTGTAGTCTTCTGAGACCTGTCACATGTCCCAAAAGACTACAGGGAAGGAGGACACCTTCCATTTCCGGTTGCCTAGGCGATCAGACAGGGGCTCACTGGAAACCCAGCTTATAGCACAATGTCAGCTATGGTGTCCAGTGCGCCCCTCACCAGCATATTAACAGTACAAACAAATGGCAACTGCCCCAATCTATAACTGGCCTTTTGTAGCAAGGAGCACATGGAAGGGCGACGCATGTCAAATGATAAAAAAGAAAAAAATCCCATTTCAACTTACCGACCTGCAACCAACCGAATTGTCCTGTCTAACAGTTTGCGTTTAACGTTACCAACATTCTAACAAATTCAATTCAACAATTTATTGGGAGCACTTAATGTCACATAGCTCTATCAATAAATCACCTGTGACTATAAAGTGTCACTAAACCCAGGACCCTGCATTCACTATATCTGGTCTCCCACAGTACACAGAACATGGAAATGTAGTTATTTTAGTAAATATAAAACTGCTAAATACCTTTTCTCATCAGCAGTATATAGCAGACTTGTGACTTTTATCAGTGTCCAGCCGAGCACTGGTTAATCTTGTAGGAGGAGTTTTAATTCTACTCTAACTGTCCTATGAGGCTGCATGATACCTAACTCTCTGTCCGGACAATGCTGATTGGCCCTGTGCCGATCACATGCTAACTTCCAAAAAAGAAAATCTCTCTAGCAATACACACCAAACGGCATACTTGCAGACTTGCCACAGTGCTCTGTGTACTATGGCAGATGGATTGGGGACATAAGGGCCCTCGAACCCCTCGTGTATAGCACTGTATTGTTATTGTACTGCCTCATGTATTGTCCCCCTTTGTAATGTACAGCGCTGAGCGAACTATTGACGCTTTATAAATACTGTATAATAATAATAATTAAAAGAAGGGGAGGATCAGGGAAGACAGGATCAAACAGCCTTTTTTTTACACAATGCAGAGGATTGTCACATTAGGTTCCACAGTGAGTATAACAAGCATGCTCATTTTACTTTTTTGGGTTTAGTAACACTTTAAGTATTTACAATAAATTGTCAAAACAAATTTATTGTAATTCTAGTGATTTACTTGATTATCTTGATCCTGCACTGCACCATTCCTTGTGATCATTTCAGGTACCCTCCTGGTACAGCTCAGAAGATTTCACACTAGCAATCCTGTCTCTAACAGTAACTTACCAGCAAATGCATCGCTACAGAGAACACTGACTTGCTCCTAGGACATTGATCTCACAGTGGTCAAAGCTTCAGGGTGTCGCTCCCAACAAGGGAGCAGTGACAGAGCAACACCCCCACTGGATCGACAATCGAAGGAGAGGCGCTGTAGGAGCAAGTGAATGTTCTTTCTGCTATATTGGTGTTATGGCACTGTCAGGTGCTGTTAGTGAACGGGATCACTAGATGCGATTTATGGAAAACAAATGGGGAATCCATGCAATAGAATGACAACTTGGATCATTAAACATAAATTCATGTTTTTCAGCTGTATAAAAACTGGGTATGTAAAAAATGAAAAAGCTGCACAGATCTAATTGTAAAGTGAACCTGTGTTCTGCCTTTGAAAAGCAAAACTGGTTCACCTCAAAACTGGCCCCTGAAGTAGCTCTTACTGCTGCTCATATCTCCATTTGATGGTGCTGATTTATGGGCAGCCAATCGGCTATGCTGTCACATGCCCCCTAACTTAGGAATACCAGGTATTTCCTAGCAGTGACTGTAGCTGCGGAGGAGAGACTGGGTGAGTATACACTGATCAGCCATAACAATATGACCACCCACCATAACCTGTCACGTTGTGGACTCCACTAGACCCCTGAAGGTATGTTGTGGTTTCTGGCACCAAACCATCAGTAGCAGATCCTTTTGGTTCTGTAAGTTGCAAAGTGAGACGTCCATGGATCGGATTGTTCTTCCGGCACATTCAAGATTCTCAGTTGGAGTGAGATCTGGAGAATTTGGTGGCCAAGTCAACACCTTGAACAGATTGTTGTGTTTTTCAAACCATTCTTGAATTCATCAGACCAGGCCACCTTCTTCCATTGCTCCGTGGTCCAGTTTTAATGTTCATTTGCCCTCTGCAGGCGCTTCTTGATGTGGACACGGGTCAACATGGGCACCCGGACTGGTCTGCAGATACGCACCCCTGTACACAGCAAACTGTGATGCACTGTGTGTTCTGACACCTTTCTATCTGAACCAGCATAAACTTTTTCGGCAGTTTAGGCTACAGTAGCTGTTCTATTGGACAAGACTACATGGGTCAGTCTTCACATACATCCCACGTACATCAATGAGCTTTGACCACCCACGACCCTGTTGCCAGTTTGCCAGTTTTCCTTCCTTGTACCCTTTTTGGTTGGTCCTGACCACTGCAGACTAGGAACATCCCAGAAGATCTGCAATTTTGGAGATGCGCTGACCAATCATCTAGTCATTACAATTTGGCCTTTTGGCAAAGTTGCTCAGTCCTTACACTTTCTTACACCTTTCAACACATCAACTTCAGGGACAATATGTTCACTTGCTGCCTGATATATCCTACCCACATTCATGTGCCATTGTAACAGGATAATCCATGTTATTCACTTTACTTGCTAGTGGTCATAGTGCTGATTTGTGTAAGCTGTTGATGAGGCTGGCATTAATGTGAACTTGGTGCTTTGACTTGCCTGGATAAAGCATGGGATCACTTTAACCCTTTCGTTGCCAGAGCTGTTTTTGCTTTTTCACGTTTTGGTAACATATCAAAGACAAGATTGTGCTGAGTAAATAGCCAACATGCCAAACCTTAATTTTGTGCGCACCTATGAAATGGCGACAAACTTCAGTTCCCTATATTTTCTATAGGCGACGCTTCAAAAGCCCCTATAGGTCATCCATTCAGCATTACAGAGGAGGTCTTGTGATAGAATTATTGTTCTCACTCTGATGTGCGCGGCGGTATGTAACGTGTATCGCAATTGACGTTTTCCCATGTAGACACCTTGATTTGTGTGTTTACATTTGTATGTACATATATGTGGAGGTGCCTCAACATTTTTTTTGTTTGGGGGGAGAGATGTTATGTGCTTGGGTGTAACTTTCTATTTTTTTAACAAATAAAAAAAACATTTTTTACTTTTTTTTTTTTTTTTTTTACTTTTTTCCCATCACATAGAGGACACAAAGGCCTCTATTTGATGATTTTTAGGTGACAGGTTCTCTTTATTGAGACATGCTGGGTCTAAAAGACTCTGTATGTCTCCTCTGGCCTCCAGTGGATGTATTGCAGTGCAGAGCACATTGCAATACATTGTTTCTCGGCTGTGCTAGCCGAGAAAGTGACAGCGGTGACCTGGAAGTGACATCACACACATTGCCTTCCGGGTCACAGAAAGAAGGGGAGGAGAGCGGATGTTTGTCCACGCTCCTCTCTCCCCTCCACCTGCCGGCACCCACCATGGCACTTCCTGGGTCTGCAGATGGACAAGCGGATCCTGGATACATGGCGGGGAGTGCCTGTCAGTTTTATACACAATCCCGATGGCCACCGGATTCAGCATAAAACCCCCCACTGTCAGATCTGTATGACGAACGGACCTAATAGCAAAAGGGTTAAAGGATAAGTTTGCCTTTTATAACATATTTAGGGTGTAACATGTTATTGCTACAGCTGTTCCCGCTGTGACAGTAGGAAGGGGATCTTCTCCCTGCGCCTGCTGTTACAATTTTAAAAAGGTGCAACAGCCACATTATTCTTTCAGAGTTCTGTGAATGGGAGAAGTAAAAGTACTGATAGTCTTTGCAGCTGTCTGCTTGTAGTTCTCAAAGAACTTTGTCCCTGGCTTTGTGCACAGGGACACAGTCATGCTGGAAGAGAAAAAGGTCTTCCCCCAAACTGCTGCAACAATGCTGGAAAAGCACAGTGTTCTGCTGCATTAACAGGACCCATCACTGGAAACACTATTCATATGGGGTGGAGGGGGTGGGGTGGGGAGTGTGTCCATATACTTTCAGTATAGTAAGTGTAATGTTCTGGTATCCACAAACTTTGGTCATATTTTGTATCTACAGTCATTGAACACTTTATTAGATACACCTGTTCAATTGCTTGGTAATACAAATTGCTAATCAGCCAATTACATGGCAGCAACTCCATGCATTTAAGCATCTAGACGCGGTGAAGACGACTTGCTGAAGTTCAAACCGAGCATAAGAATGGGGGAAGAAAGGGGACTTTCAGTGACTCTGAACATGGCATGGTTGTTGGTGCCAGATGGGCTGGTCTTAGTATCTCAAAAACTGCTGATCTGGGATTTTCACGCACAACCATCTCTAGGGTTTACAGAGAATGATCCAAAAAAGAGAAAATATCCAGTGAGCTGCTGTTGTGTGGATGAAAATGTCTTGGTGATGTCAGAGGAGAATGGGCAGACTGGTTGCAAATGATAGGAAAGCATTAACTTATGTCAATATGGAACATCCATCAATGAGGAATATTTCCAACACCTTGTTAAATATATACTATAAAGAATTAGGGCAGTTTTGAAGGCAAAAGGGAGTCCAACCCCGGTACTAGCAAGGTGTACGTAATAAAGTGGCTGGTGAGTGTATGTGTATATACATCGATAAAGCGCTATTTATTCAAGGTGCATTGATGGTTTCAGCCACTAGATGGTGATCTGACTTCAGAAGAATTTTTATCCATCTGCTGCCTTTTAGCCAAGTCTTGTTATCAGTTTATTACTTATTGTTCTTCATGTTTATTGGCATTTATAAATGGCATTTACATTCAAGATGCAGAGAAATTAACTTGTTGCTTTTATTGTTTTGATTCTATCTCGGTGAAGTTTTTTTTTTTTCTTCTGCTATTTATCAGGATTATATTTTCCCTTCAATTTGTTGCAGTTTGGTTATATTTGTGTTTATGTAATCCAGCCCCGATACCTGGCTACATTTTGTAACCCAGAAACCGGAAATAGTTAGAAATTATATGGAATTGCCTCTTTGTTAAACGTGTTTTTCGCTTTATTAGGCCTCTTGCATCTTGAAAAATCTCGGTACAGCATTTTTTTTTTGTTTTTTACTGAGGTAAAATATAGCCCATTATTTACAATGTGCCTTTGCGCACAGACATGTAATAAGTGCCGCGTATTCCTCAGTAAGAAAAAAAAATAGGAAAATCTGCATTTATTTGGTCAGTAATTTACGCTGCATGCGTGCCCATATGGACATAAATATTAATGCATTTTCCCTAAGAATATATTATGTATGCAAATTCACGCAAATATGTGTGTAAGTATGCGCAAAACAAACGCCTGCAATTACATGTAAAAAAGCAGATGTTCAGACACCAGTACCATGTGCAAGAGGTCTTAAAGGACAAAGCGGAAATCTTGATCTCTGAGCACTGGGTAATGACACCACCTTCAGGAGTAGGACACTAGGGACAAAAACCAAAATGCAGCCTAGAGGCAGCACAGCCCAAAACCACTAGAGGCAGCAAAACCACTAGAGCAGCAGCCCAAAACCACTAGAGGCAGCACAAAACCACTAGAGCCCAAAAAACCACTAGAGGCAGCACAGCCCAAAACCACTAGAGGCAGCACAGAGGCAGCCAGCCCAAAACCACTAGAGGCAGCACAGCCCAAAACCACTAGAGGCAGCTCAGTTTTTTTGGCTAGTGTCCAGGAATAAGAGCCTAAGCATGAGATTTCTAGTTCCTAGGCAAGCAGGCATCCCCCTGGTTTCAACCAGAGGAGGTCCACTTATTCTCTAGATGTCTTTGCTGACACATGGAGTCCCCCCCTTCTCCTGGGCAGTATGTCTTGGTGGGGGCTATTTGGGTATCCCCAAGCACACCATGCAGTCAGGCTTTCCAGGAATTTGCCACATACTGGAGCCAACTGTGGTTGGCATGTATACTCAGGGCTCTGCCCTTCTCTGCTGCCACGTCCTCTTGTGCTCTGTGCCACATCCAGGGGGAAAGTGACCTGGGGAGACACTGCTCAGCTGTGGGTTGTAGACCGCTTGCCTCCTATGGGTCATGACCACTTCCCTCATACAGTCTTTGTGCTAAGTAGCATGACTATAAAACCACTTTTTGTCTCTTATAGTGTAGTTGTTCCATTCTAGAGCTGGCAGAATAACCTACGGTTTTCAGTAGTGTTGTCCTCTAATAAGGTCCCTGACACCACTTTTACCTGCCTGTACTCTCACAGATTTTTTGTCTTCCTTTTTTGGAAATTGGACAACTCGGTCTCTGGTGGTAATTTTTTTCCTTCCTAGCAACATGCAGCATGTGTTCCCTTTAGGTGTGGATCCAGCAGGGTCAATTGCAATTGGAGCCCCCCCTTTAGACCTTGTTCTGCTGGGCAGGTCCTGTCGTGCAACATATTTTGGCTGTGATACCTGCCTGGCAGGCCCTCAAAAGTGACACAGTAACTATGCTGACTGCTCTTTAGTCTGAGCATGTGGGTTTCACTAATATAGCATGGATGGTTAGATCGGCCCACATGCCTTTGTTTTCAAGTTCCTCAACTTCAGCAGGGTCCTTTCCTGAATGGGGGGATGCTCTTATCTCCTAAGTGTGGAGCATCTGTTGGCCTTGAAATTTTTGTGAAGCTACCAAATTAGGGGATTTCTTGGGAATGGCAGTTCTCTGGGGCTACCCGCTGGAATCCTATGGTCAACCCCCTTCTTGGTTGGCCTTCAGACCTACCTGTGTCTTTGCACAAATAGTCCTACATGCTACTCTTGCAGGCCTTCTGGAACTAGAGGATTTGGCTCCAGTTTGTGTATTAGAACAGTTCAGGAATTTGACCCCAACCTGTTCTTTCCAATCCATCTCAAACCCCAAGGCCCTCTTGTTTCCTGGGGCTGGTGCTGCAGTTGTGAGGGTTTTTTTTTTTTATTTTTTAGATACTGGACATACGGGGCACGCCCAAATAGCTTAACTGGCTTATTATGCTCTCAGAATGCAGACCGGTTTTGTTTTGTGTGCAGAAGGGAAGACTGGCCATACATGATTCCTTTTTTTCTTTTTTTTCCAACCAACGGGTTGAATGGAAATTAATGAGTGGATTCCTCCATCCACACATTTTGGTGGATGGGACAGTGACTCCCACAGCTGAACCGGCCAAATTTCAGTCCATGTATGGCCAGCATAAGTGTTTTCCTGCTTCTGACTTGTATGAGCTGCTCATTAGTCTCTGTGGACAGACCCAGTGTGCATACTCTGGCAGGAATATGAAAGATGTAGCGCCATAAAATGGAAACCATGCTCAGTATTGGAAAAAGGGCCAGATCAACAGACTTTGCAGCTGAGGTTTGTAATACTCAGTTTTCATCATGTGAGCAGTTTGGTGAGATGAGATTTTCTTTACAAATACAGTTACACTTAAGAAAGTAAAAGTTTTGTAGTTGGCTGCTCCTAAACTTTGTAGTTACCAGACAATTTTAGTTTTGGTGGGCTCCAATACACTCAATCATCTGCCACCATCTTTTTTTTAAATTTTTTTTTCAATTTCTACTTCAGGTGTCCAGTTCTGCTTTCTCGCTCTGCATCACTTATCAGTCAAACTGAAAATTCCAAGACAGGTTTTATTCTGATCCAGACACTGAGTATACTATCCCATGTTTATACATTGATCGTTGTTCTGTCTCTCCAATCTAAGCATTGAAAGTGTGATCTCTTACAGTTGTGATGAGATAGGGATAACTCCAATCTTAGTTGAATAACACAGGCAGTGACTCGATCCGGACGACACCTTGTTGAAGTTTATTCCATAAACCAAAAGAATCTTGCAGCAATGAACATCGGATAGGTCAAAAGATCATAATGTGATCTACTTCCATTAGATGAACTAAACCAAAGGAAAGGGAGGAGCAGAGACAAAATACAAAGAACACTTAAAGGCATATGACAGTCATGTGAAACATGACAATCGTAGTCTTGTTTGCTGTGTCATGTGAATCAATATAGTTTTTGTGCATTTCCAGGCGGAATTGGGAGACTTGGAGACGTGGCAAGAAAACACCAATGCTTGGGAGGAAGAAGATGCTGCTTGGCAGGCTGAAGAGGTTTTAAGGTAATGATTAGTTTGTTACCACTTCTTGAACACAGTGTGCGGGGGGTTCCCCATGCCTTGATAACATTGCAGCAAAGAACTAGGAATGCATAGCTGTGAATGTTCCTAGTTCTCAGACCTTGCTGTCAAACTGGCAAATTAGTGATCCAATGATAGTGTCTCGTTGACTGATGGTGATAAATTTGCTTTGGGTATTTTGCTTTGCTGATCTCTGGGCAGGAAAAGGTTAAAGGCCTAAGAGAATTGAAATTGTCATTGTTCGCAATGAATGAGCTTGGCTGGAAATGGTGTACAGGGATAATTGCAAGTATACAAAAATTGCCTATAGGTTACACACAGGCTCATGCAAGTACTATACAAATTTATTGGAAGTCTGTATTGCGAGAAATACCGACTACTGGTGCTGTCTTCCAGAAATGCTAGTTGCCCTGACTGATATGCTGATCTGAAGTTTCCACTGACCTGGAACATTAATGATGCATGTCAGGAAAGTGATGTAGAGTCTTCTCTTTTGGCTTTTTGTTCATGGTCAGTGACCCAGAAAGTATGGAAACTGTTGATTCAGCTTGATACCCAGGTGTTTTATTATACTGATCTCTATCACAGTGACCAAAAACTTTCAGTTCACTGATGAATCCTGCCGGGCATCCACTTCCAACAACCTCACCATTCGTGAGTCCTAGCAATGAGAAATGAGTGTGGGGAGCTTCTAAGCGATATTTGATTTCATTTTCACATGAATGAGGATACAGCTATAACTTGCTCACCTGGATACGTGGTTGGGATATACAATGTAGTGCTCCACAACATTCATGTTTGTCTAAATCTCCTTTCAAAAGCTTCATTTTCACTTGGTAAACAGAAATAAATGTAGGGTGTATAGAGCATGTATGGATCTGATTCATTGGATTTTGAAAAGCAGCTCAACAATTTCTTAGGTGGTATGTGATGTGGCTCAGTCACGGAAATGTGAGTATAAGACTGGCAAAGGGAGCAGGGGACAGTAAAAATATAAGTGGCGCTGCTACACTATCATTATTTTAAAAAAGTATTTGCATGTCTTTATATTACCCTCTTATGATCCTCTCGACAGCAGCACGTGGATTGTAAAAGGGAGGGGAGGTACTAGAGTCAAATGGGTTCTGCTGCAAATACATGTGGTGGCAAAAAAGCAAAGATGCCTTCTTGTGTGTTGTTGATCCTTATATATCCAGTCAACAGCCTGTGGTCAGGGAAGTGACACCACGATATGTCTTAACTCTAACAGAAAAAGCGGTGTCACCTACTAGATGCAGGGAGGTGTAAAACATCGCAAGGGTGGATAGACAGAATCAGAGGCGTAACTTCAGGGCCCCGGTGCAAGAAACCATGAAGGGCCCTCTTCACTCCCCTGGCTGGGGCCCTTCCCACTGAACCCAGGACCCTTTTACACCTGTAAATTTTTTTTCCCAATTTTATTTTTTACCATCTTGTTAGGAGCCCCGTTGGGGGTCTTTGGTGAGGTATTAAGGGTCTAAACAGACCTTTGATGATTCACCTTTGGGATAGAGAAAGGAGATTGAGAACACAGCCCTCAATCTCCATCCCTGCAGCCTTCAGCTGCACAGAGCTGTACAGAGCTTCCTGTTTACTCACAAACTGAAGCATAGTAAACACAGTTTACTATGCCTCAGTTATGAATTAACAAAGTTAGTGATCGGTACCAATCACTGATTCTATCCATTCAGAAAAGGAAGGGGCCTGTAAATGACATATTTACTGGCCCCTTCCCTCTCTCTCCATCCTGAAATAATCTCTGCAGCAGCCTGCGAGAGGGAGGATACAAGCAAAGGCAGGGGACGAGGGATGGCCAGGAGAGTACACAAAAGCAGCAGGATCTGGTCTGAAAAGAAGGGACGGTGGGGGTGATATATAGGGGAACCAATCTTCCCCATTTTTTCTTCTGCAGCCCCTAAATGCCTGCGGGAGGGAGAGGAGGAGAAGCAGGCTTTCAACAGCTGCAGGAGGAAAATGGAGAAGATCGGTTCTTCTATATGCCCCCCTTCTATCCAGGTGTACAGGGCAGCTGCACGGGGCTGGGTCGCAATTGTGGCACCTGTAGTTACACCCCTGGGCAGAATTACAAATCTTTTGGTGCATAAGGTGTGTGGCACACACATTTCATCTGTATATACCCAGAAAAGTGATCTGAAGTTTTGTTAATGTTTTATATAGGCAGCAGAAACTGGCGGAGAGGGAAAAAAGGAGCGCAGAGCAGCAACGGAAAAAAATGGAGAAGGAGGCTCAACGGCAGATGAAGAAAGATCAGAGCAAAATCGGTGTGAAATTATCGTAACACCCAACCAGAGATTGAATGGTAGGGCGTGATGCCGATACAGACATTTCTACGCGGTTTTCAATGTTTTCATGCTTCACCTTGAGCCTGGATGATGAAAACATTCTGATGATCCGGTGGCTGGGACATGTGGGGACGGGAACCCCTTCTACCTTTTTAAGACTTTTTTTTGACTCTGCAGCAGATCACAAATGCCTCCTCAGACTCTGCATGAGACTTTTACAATGAAAAGAACACAATGGTGTAAATAATTCCTTGGTGGGAAATCTACTGCTCCCTAATGCTATGTGCAAATATGTAATTACTAAATAAAGAATTTTAAATACATCATTCATTTTGCTTTATTTGTTTAAATGGTTTCCTCTGGTCAGGAATGGTCTACCCAAAGCAGATATTTACCGTATTTTTCGCTCCATAAGACGCACTTTTTCCCCCCAAAAAGGGGGAGAAAATGTCAGTGCGTCTTATGGAGCGAATATTGAGCGGCCGGTCCGGTATTTCCACCTCTGCCGTGTCAGAATACAGGGCCGGTCGCTCAGCTCTGCAGCGGGACCTTACCTGTTCCTCTATCCAGCGCCCGCACTGTCTTCTCGGCTTGACAGGTCCCAGAAGCCGCTGGACCAATCACAAAGCGCAGTGCTTCTCGCTCATGCGCACTGGGCACCTGGCTGTCAAGCTGAGCGCCCACACTACAGAAGCCAGGAAGACAGCGTGGCGCTGGATAGAGGAACAGGTAAGGTCCCACTACAGAGCGGAAACTAACCAAAGAACAACTCCGCGGAAGTAAGAGCGGGTACCTGACAAATTCAGGTACCTCCCCAAAGGTCAGCAGTCATCTCCTGTACTGTCCGCAGTCTCTGGTCATCTCCTGTACTGTCCGCAGTCTCTGACCATCTCCTGTACTGTGTCCGCAGTCTCTGGTCATCTCCTGTACTGTGTCCGCAGTCTCTGGTGCCATCTCCTGTACTGTGTCCGCAGGTCTCTGGCCATCTCCTGTACTGTGCCCGCAGTCTCTGGCCATCTCCTGTACTGTGCCCGCAGTCTCTGGTCATCTCCTGTACTGTGCCGTCTCTGGTCATCTCCTGTACTGTGCCCGCAGTCTCTGGTCATCTCCTGTACTGTGTCCGCAGTCTCTGGTCATCTCCTGTACTGTGGGCTCCGCAGTCTCTGGTCATCTCCTGTACTGTGTCCGCAGTCTCTGGTCATCTCCTGTACTGTCTGCAGCCCATTGGTTTACAATATTTTTTTTTCCTGTTTTCTGCTTTAAAACCTAGGTGCGTCTTATGGAGCGAAAAATATGGTAAAAGTTGCAAGAGGGAATTTTGTTAAGAATCATCCACACTGGCATATGATAACTTGAAGAGGCTTTCCATTGTCTTGGATCTGTTACTTCCACCACAGAATTCCCCAAAAATGAGGCCCCACTGTAGCAACTGTGGTAAGTGGTAAAGCCAGGGTCAAGCAGTTAATCAGTACAGAGGTCTGACATAGACCGTGCCCATGGCATTTGGTCACATGATCTCTGTGCATTAAAAAAGTGGGATGGGGGGGGGGGAGGTTAAGCATAATAGGATTTTTCCCCACTTTCTGAAGTAGTAGGATGTCTATTGACCTCTTGAAGACACCTGGTCAGAATGAATCCCAGATTCCTAGGTAAAAGTTTGCAGGGGCTACAAGCTACAGTTTTGCAGTCAACCCCACCCCTGGATCTGGTTATCCAAGCTGCTTGTGCCTCTGCTCATGCTAGCAGACTTCCATACTGCTCTTGCAGACCTTTTGAACTAAAGGGTTATTGCCATTGTATCAACAGCGGAAAGGTTCAGGGTTTTTTGCGCCAACCTTTTCAATGTTCTAAAACTGAAAAGGGGTTATTTGTGCCATCTTGGATCTGAAGCTCTTGAATATCATCTATCTTTCTCCTTATACAAATCTTGGGAGCAAAATAGGAAGATTTTTTGATCAACCATCAAGAAAGAAGTTAGGCTGCAGAAAGGATTCCAGTCTGGGCAGAACTCCACATTCTGGTCTTGTCTGTAAATCGTTTGGCAGACAGACTGCCACTTCCAGCAGCAACTGGATCCAAGGTAATAGTGCCTGCACCCAGAAGTGTTCCAGAACATATCACAGGTAAAAGAAATGCTGCCTGTGGTCTTCTGGCCTTCAAATGACACATAACTAGATGGGTTTGTTGCCAGATGTAGAGTTTCTATGGTTACCCCTTAGGATCTGTACAAATTGATCTATGGTATACCTCCCCTTAAACACCTTCCATGTTTACTTAGCAGGGAAGGATGAATGAAATTCTTAAGAATCTCATGGTATACCCACCTATTCAAACTTCTCGAAGACACCTCATGGATCATCCTGATCTCCCAGGCATAGACAACTGGCAGGTTGATTTCCTCAGGTAACAGTGCCTGGACCTGGGGGGTGGTCCCTACACTCAGGTGGTGTTCCAGGACCTGTGTCACAGGTGAGGAATGCTGGATGTGAACCTCATGACTTCCAGGTCAACAACAAACTGGACAGAATTCTCTCCAGGTGCAGGGATCCTCTGGCAGATACAATAAAGGCCCTGCTGGCTCCATGGAATCAGTACAGCCTGATCCAAGCCTTAAAGCTAGGATGTCTACCATCACAAAAGCCTGGGAAATGGGTTTGGATCAAGTTTTGTCCGAGTACCATCAAGGGTCAGATCTTGGAGCTTGTGGTCCTGTTCCAGAGACTCACTAGCTTCCCATTCTGCAAGACTCTTTTGTACAGGGTGTCGCTTGTGGCTTTCCCTGTGTGCTCATCTGTGACTAAGTGAAATCTGAATATGGTTGGCACTTCTTAGCCTACAAGGGATATTCCTCTTTCCACTCTCATTTTCAAAGGTGGTGTTTCTTGTTGCCATCACCTTTGCAAGGACATGTCTGAGCTGGCAGCTCTGTCCTGTGTAAAAAGTAAAAAAAAAAAAAATAAACAAACACACACCCCTTCTGGTCTCATACAGGGAAAGGCAGTGTTGAGGCCTAGAACCTCCTTCCTAAGGTGGTTTTAGCCTTTCAGCTCACCCGTGACCAGGTTTTTTTTTTTTTTTTTTCTTCAGCCAGAACATGGCAAAAAGAGTTCTACCATCTCTGGCACTAGCCTTGAGCTCAATAGTGCCAGTAAAGGTAGTCAGATGTAAGTTGTGGATAGAAGAAAACATGTATGCAAGCTGTGGATTGAAGGGGGGGGGGCCTTGAGCTATGGATAGCTGTGGCCAGGGGTGCAGATGTGAGCTTTGGATGGAGGTAGGCTGAGGACAGGCAGTGCAGGGGTAAGCAGTGAACAAGGATTGCAGAAGGGAATGATGGGAGCTGCTATTTTTTCTTTGTGTTGCACAGGCCCAAACCCGGCCATTCTGTGAATTACACATTCCCGGTTTTATTAAACAATGCCATTTTAAGGCCCCTCCACTGATTTGGCCACACCCAACATATTACAATGCTATTCTCCCCTGCATGGCGGAGGAGGAAGAGTTCTTGCATGTGTTCCCCGAGGAAACAAAAACTGCCAAATACATTGTTCTTTGTCCCTCGTCTGGGTTCTGAAAGAACTCTTCAGAACTGGGAGTAGTTCATGCTGTGCTTGTTTGGCTTGTAGCTACTGCTTCTATTAGAAAGACTGACGTTGTCACTCAAGGTTCAGCCAGATCATCATTCATATGGTGTGAAAGTGATATTAACTTCTTCCCAAATGGGCTATAGCTGAAAGATGGCTACAGCACGGTTGTCTAGTTCTGGGAGGGCATCCTTTGACGCCCTACCTGAACGCATCCGCAGCACCGCCGGAGAATGTCGTGTCCTATAGCCACAGCTGATCACGTGATAAAGTAAAAGGCCAATCACAGCAGCCTTTTACCACATGATCAGTTGTGTCCAATGGCACAGCATATCTCAATGTAAATACAGTTGCCAATTATCAGCTGCACTTTCTTCACGCTGTCACAGCATGAAGAAAGTACTGCCGGTAACCAGATGTGACAGGAGATCTGCACAAGTATTCAGTGCCCTGATTATCAATGTCACCCGTCTGTACCTCCTCAAACGCACATCAGTGAAGAAAAAAAATTGCCTTTATTTAGTACAAAAAATAAAAACCCCAGTGGCAATTAAATACCACCAAAAGAAAGCTCCATTTGTGTGAAAAATATTATACAAATTTCATATGGGTACAATGTTGCATGACAGCGCAATTGTGACAGTGCTGAAAATTGGCCTGGGCAGGAAGGGGGTAGAAGTGCACAGTAGGCAAGTGGTTAAAGGCAAATTTTAACAAAAATTAACAAGCATGTCATACTTACCTGCTGTGTGCAGTGGCTTTGCACAGAGCAGCCCCAATCCTCCTCTTCTTGGGTCCCCCTACCAGTGCTCCTGACCCCTCCCTCCTGCTTAGAGTCCCTAGGAGCAAGCAGTTTGCTAAGGGGACACCCAAGCAGGCTCTGAGTCACTGCTCTGCGTGTCCATTCACGCACAACCACAGCTTGGCTTCTGCCTCCTCTCTCTCCTCATTGGCTCACTGGCTGTGATTAACAGCAGTGGGAGCCTATGGCTGTCTAAGCAATGTGCACATTGCTGGATCACGATGAAGCTCAGGTAAGTATTAGGGAGGCCAGGGAAGGGGCAGCTCAAGGTTGTTTTTACCTTCATGCATTCAGGAAGGTGAAAAAACCTGAGCCTTTACAACAACTTTAAAGAATCAGGTTTCCCATCATGGGCACTCCATTAGGTCTGTAAGTGCTTTCTTTTTGCCATCAGGCAACAGTTTCCCAGACTTGCAAGGCTGCCACATGGTATTCTGTTCACATGTTCTCAAAAGTTAACCGCTTTCCCGCCACCCTATAGCAGAAGTACTACTACAGGGCAGCAGGGCTGCGCAAAATCAAGTGTATATATACACACACACGTGATTTTACATTTGTGGGTAGGGGGGACGCACGCCCCCCCCTACCTGCGCCACCATTGTCGATCACTGGGTCCCCGGCCGGTGATTCCCCGCTGGCACCCGACGATCGCCGAGTATCACTGATGGGTGAAGATACCTGTATGTAAACAGTACATATCTCTCCCCTGTCAGCTCCTCCACATTGTGACTGTCAGCACATTGCTTTGTATTATACACACAAAGTTAACCCTTTGATTGCCCCAGATGTTAACCCCTTCCTGCCCAGTGCCATTAGTACAGTGTCAGTGCTTATTAGAACTGATCACTGTATGAGTGTCACTGGGGAGGTCAGTGACAGTCCATTTCCTCCCAGTGTCAGAATGCCCGCCGCAGTCCTACAATAAGTTGCTGATCGCTGCCATTAATAGTATTAGAAAAAATTCCAGTATATATAAAATGGCCATTTGTAGACGCTACAACTTTCATGTAAACAAATTAATTTACACATATTGGGATAAATTTTTTTTTTTTTTAGCAAAGACATGTAGCAGAAAACATTTTGGCCTCAGTGCTCAAAAAGCACTGCTTTGCTTATAGCGCCAAAACCCCCCCCCAAAAAAATGCACAGGTAATCAAAATACCACCGAAAGAACGCTCCATTTGTGGGGAAAAAAAAAAAAAAAAAGACATACATTTAATTTGGGTGCAGTGTTGCATGACCGTGCAATTGTCAGTTAAAGTAACACAGAGCCGTATTGTGAAAAATGGCCTGGTCAGGAAAGGGGGTAAATCTTCTGGTGGGAAAGTGGTTAAACAGGTGGATGTTCAGGCCTCATCTGATGCCAACTTTAAGAAATTATTTGCTTTCAGGCAGTCCCCAGTTCTGATTTTTTCCTGAGGTTTTCTTTTGGGCCATTTAGGGTTTTGTTGCTGTTACACACCCTCAATTGGACTACTCTGGGATGTCGCAACAGTCTCTGAATTTGTGTCCTTCAGTGACGGAGAAAAGAAATGGGATATTTGAACGGACTGGTAAAAACCACTTCTTGGAGTTCATTAAGGGACATAGAATATAGACATAGATGGGTTGGACCTAAGGTTGTTATTGGGACAAAACAGGCAAAAAAAAAAAAAAAAAAAAAAAAAAAAACACCAGGCTCAAACGTTTCCTGGTCCTGTCAAATATTGTTTGCTCCTAGTTTTGCCATCAATAAAAAAGATATAATGCACACTTTTTTTTTTTTTTTTTTACCAGGTTGTTTGGTTACAGCAGCTACTTGTTTTGGAACTCTTTACCCCAATCTTTCTGACTATCTTCTACCTTGTCCACTTTTAGGTGATCCCTGAAAACCTCTCTTCAGGGAAGCCTATCTTGCCCTCAGCTAATAACAGAATCTTCTATTTCTCCCATGAGCTCACCCTCACAGTTGTTACCTTTTGTTCCACCATCCCATCCCTATTAGATTGTAAGCTCCCAGGTTCAGGGTCCTCCTAACACTCTTGTATTGAATTGCATCATTGCTGTACTGTCTCGCTTTGTATTGTGAAGTGCTGAGCAAACTGTTGGAGCTATATAAATCCTGTATAATAATAAAATGTAGCATAATGCCAGTCACAAAATTTTGACAACTCCAAATATTGCCATACAGCAGATTCAAGGAGCGCGCGCAAGTGTGAAAAAGGCATATAAGACATCATAGTAAGTAGAGAAGGTCAGTTTATTGAATCTGTACATACAGACATTGGACAAGCAAATGTGTTTGCATACAGCAACACAAAAAAGTACATAATAAATAAGGAAACTGATTTTTTTTAATATTTACTGTACACATTAAGGTTTATAAATACATCTCACCATGCTACGTTACGCTTTAAACACTTTGCAATAACCTCATGGATATACAGGCACATCTCTGGGTACGACCATGCTCTGACACAATGCAGGTACTAATAGAACATTACATTACCATAGGTAACAATATTTACTTCACAGATAGCCAAGCATACCTACAGCAGAATGTGGGGCTCTATGAAATGAGGCAACTGTGCTAGGAATATTCAGAATGTTATGGACACTTCAACATTGTATACAAATACAACAACAAGTAGATTACATTCAAGAGAGTCTCCACCCAGCTACAGATCTAAGGTGTCTCTTGAAAACAGTTTCAAGTTGTCCCTCAACAACTATTATTTCGCCAGCACTCCAACACTGCTTAAAGTTTCGTGACTGTTTTTTTTTTTTTCAGCCTATTGGCTGATACAACCAGTCACAAAACAGTAAGGAAAATCGGTTAAGGGACAACCAGCACCTGTCTCCAGAAGATGGAGAGATGAGGGGGACAAAAGAAAAAAAAAAAAGAAAAATTCCACACATTCACACTTTTCAGTCACGGAGTAGACACTGATCGGTAAAATGACCCATTGCTCCTCAAGTCTCCAAGAGCTAAAATGAGGAAAACAGTCCTTGGCAGAGTTCTCAGCTTTGCCCCTGCTACAGCCATTGTGACATCATAAAAAAGGCATTTCAGTTTTCCAGCTGAATTCTAGATGGTAAATACAAAAAAAAAAAAAAAAAAAAAAATTGACAGATTCAGTAGCAAGAGCCAAAAGGCCCTCATGGCAGTGGCAGGTTGGCAAAACAGGTATTTGGTTGCAGAGATCTTGGCACTGGAGCCCCAAAGACACAAGAAACCAGTGGGGGGGGGGGAATTCAACCTGCTGCCATACCTCCATAACTGAAATGCAAGTCATCAGTATAATGACCACCTAAATCTAACAGCTGGGTGGACAAACCCTTTAACAAGAGTACTTAGAGGTCAGTGAATGTTCCCAGTGCAGGACAATAGGGAAAAAAACCACACATTAAGCATAGCTAATAAACTCAATATGAGCAGCAAGGCTGCAATATAAAGAATTGTAGAATTTGGAAGTGCATTTATAATAACATTCAAAAGCTTTTGTTCTTTAGTACAATTAGTGCAATATTTGTTAGGGGATAAGGAAAGCTATCAAATTTATTATTTTCAATTCATTTTGCTTCTGTAAAAGAAGCTGAAAAGGGAGAGGTGATAAAGTGCAAATTAAATAATAAAAAAAAAAAATTAGGTGCAAATATGACAAATTGAAATTTATCAATTTGATAAGTGCTCTATGTATGCAAAAGGCATTAAAAGGGGAAATACATTTCCATAAACATCATAATCTAGCAGCAATCCACCAAGTTACAATAAAAGCCATGGAGAAAAAGGGAACAGCATCAATCCATGACCGGGGAATCCATTCAGAACAATCACTTGAAACAATTATCGATAGTGGTTGTAAATCATTGAATTGCTCATCCTTACTACCATACCAATAATCACTACCAAAGGATATCCATTAATTCCAGCATGAAGTCAATTTGAGTTGTATTGGCTCTGTTTCATTACGGACTTTGTGGTTTGGTGGGCATCATTCAATCAACGCAAAGCGACCAAGATCAACACTCAAGACAAAAGGCTGGGATTGTATCAATATCCTAGGAATTGTGTGGGTCTAAGATTACAAGAGAAGATTAAAACTAATTAGGTTATATACAGATTCCCCTTTAAGCATATAGGAAAAGACAGTGCCCTATTAACATTCTAGATGATTGAAATTCTAGAAAAAAAAAAGTTAGGATTTAAATATAAGGGCTGTAGGATGTTTTCCTAAGGGTATGTAAAGCCATTAAACAACAGCCACGCATCATAGTGCCAATGTTATACACAGGTTCTGGATATCCTCTTTGTGTACTTAATGCCCACAGAACTGTAGGAACAATGGGCACAGCCACTGCCAACAGGTCGGTCAAAAACCGGTCACTCCAGTGTCTTTTAGCCACGCACATGTGTTGTGTATCTCTGCTTGGCAACTCTGGCAAAGGTCCTTCAAAGTCAAGTTCTTTCATGGCACGGTTTGACACTGGAAGGGTATTATTCCCCAGAGAGTCAGGGGATAAAAGGATAGCAACATTTGGGTCATCGGGGGTCAAGTCAATTAAATCTGTGGAACCAGAAGAACATTTGGCACGCAGACCACGCATAATGGAAGATGATCTAAAAGGATAGTCATTATGGGTCTTAAACATCTTGAAGATGAGATTTTCAAGGTCAAGGCTATAAGGGACAACATCAGTTTGGATTGCCTGCTCCATCCATTGTGAACCCTGTGCCCACTTGGAATGTATTTTCTCAATTTCTTTATCAAAACCAGCTGTGGAATGCAATTTGGTAGAATTCAGGTTTGCCAAGCTGCCAAGATCACTTCTTGTTTCCATCAAAACCTCATCATAAAGGTCATCTCTGTTTGCCAGATCATCATTCAGAAGGAGATCACAGTCTGCCATCTCCTCAGTTGCTTGGTCCTCCATTAGAAGTCCTTCTGACATCTTATCATAAATTGCGCTTTCAGTCAGAGATGCTCCTGGAGAGTTACAAAAATAATCCAAACATGGTTCATCTCTAAATTCACCATCTTGAGCCAATTCCATACTACGTAGAAGGGTCTCCAACTTCCTGTTTTGAATGTTTATGTCTATGAAGTATTTCTGAATTCCTTTGTCTTTCTCAGCCAAACTGTTTTTTCATAGTTTCAATAAACTGCTTTAGCTGCTTGATCTCCTTTCGAGCTTCTTTCAGGGCAAGCTGGGCCTCAACACGATGGCATTCCTCCTCAATCCAGTCTTCCCTCATACGGGCTAGCTGAGATTTCAGATCTTCTATTTCTACTTCCCTGTAATGGCAAAATAAAGGATCTGTGTTATTTGTAGCTTAATAAACTTTGTCTACTCCTCCTGATTTAATACATGAAGAGATTCTCATGAGGCTGGTGCAGCGGAAATACCAGACTACACCAGCAGATGGAACCTCAAATTGCACTTCCAGTTTCCAATAAAACGTAACAGCTGCAGGATGGAGGGCCACTTTGTGCACAATAAATAAAAGACAGTATACATAAAAATCTATACTAAAATTACAGATATGCTAAATTCACAGATATGTACAGTGCATTCAGAACGTATTCAGACTTCCTTCACTTTTCTCCTCTGTTATGTTGCAGTCTGATACTACAATTTAATTTTTTTTTCCTCATTAATCTACACTCAGTACAACATAATGACAAAGTGAAAACAGAATTTTAGAAATGTCTGAATTTATTAAAAAGAAAAAAAAAAATAATATCACATGTACTTAAGTATTCCGACCCATTGCTCAGTACTTTGTTCAAGCACCTTTGACAGCAAAATCAGTCTCAAAGTCTTTTTTGGATATGACACATCAAGCTTTGCACACATGGATTGTGGGATTTTCTGCCATCTTTAAAATGGCAAGCTCTGTCAGGTTGAATGGGGACCATAGGTGGAAAGCCATTTTCAGGTCTCTTTAGAGATGTGCAAGTCAGGGCTCTGGCTGGACCACTCTTTGACATTCACAGAGTTTGTCTCTAATCCACCCCTGTGTTGTCTTAGCTGTGTGCTTATGATTGCCCTCATGTTGGAAGGTGAACTTTTGGCCCAGTCTGAGGTCCTGAGCCCTCTGGAACAGGTTTTCATTGAGGATATCTGTACTTTGCTCCATGCAGTTTTCCCGCAACCCTGACCAGTCTCCCAATCCCTGCTGCTGAAAAAAAAAACCCATAGCATGATGCTGCAACCACCATGCTTCAATGTTAAGATAGTATTGGGCAGGTGATGAGTGGTGCCTGGTTTGCTCCAGCCATAACATTTAGAATTGAGGCCAAACAGTTCAGTCTTGGTTTCACCAGACCAGAGAATTCGGTTTCTCACAGTATGAAAGTCTTTCAGGTGCTTTTTTGCAAACTCCAAGCAGGCTTTCATGTGTTTTGCACATGACGTCGGTCTAGCCACTCTGTCATAAAAGGATCGGTGGAGGGTTGCAGTGATGGTTGTCCTTCTGGAACTTTGAGCTACAAAGATCCTATGTGGAGATGAGACAGAGTGGCCACTGGGTTCTTGGTCACCTCTCTTGCTAAGGCCCTTCTCTATTTGAGAATTGGAAATGGAGGCCACTGTGCTCTTGGGAACTTTCAGTGCAGCAGAAATTTTTGTAGCCTTCCCCAGATCTGTACTTTACAATAATCCTGTCTGAGCTCTTCAGGCAGTAACTTTGACCGTACGGCTTTTGTTCTGATACCGTGTGCATTGTCAGCTGTGAAGTCTTTAAATTGATTGGACATGGATTTGGCTCTCTATAAATTTACTACAGGTGGACTTCAATCAAGGTGTAGAAACATCTCAGCAACGATCAAGAGAAATGTGAGGCACCTGAGCTAAATTTCAAGTGTTGTTGCAAAGGGTCTGAATACTTATGCTAATGTGATATTTCAGTTTTTCCTTTCATACATTTCTAAAATTCTGTTTTCACTTTGTCATTATGGTGTATGGAGTGTAGATTGAGAAAAAAATGAATTTATTAAAAAAAAAAAAAAAAAAAAAATGGTAGCATCAGGCTGCAGCATAACAAAAATTGAAAAAAATGGAGGTCTGAATACTTTATGAATGCATTGTATATGGTTAGTCAGTGGATATAGATGGATGTTGCCAACCCGATAGCCCATTAGAGACATGCAACCCCCTCCGTTGAGGCCCTACATCGGAATAGTGCAAAAAAAAAACAAACAAAAAAACCCGCAGTTTAACATACTGCAGATCTTTCAGCAGTTTCTTAGTGCTCTGAAATCCACACTGAGACTGAGCAAGGTAGAATATTCAGATAAAGGATTGGTTAAATGGGCAATGTTCAGGTTTGCTTTAGGTCCTGGTTCGATAAGTCATTTAGAGGGCTTCCAGCTTGAATGATCATCATGAAATAAGTACACTGTTCATTTGATGGGATGTTGAAAGTATTCTCTACTTTGTGTGTAGTAGTTTCTGACACAATGTCAAAGAATTCAACCAGAAAAAAAAAAAACAGTTTTAGGATAAGGGTGATGCTGCGGACATAGCCGCTCTTGATTTAAGTAATGCAGCTCATTACAATCCACATATCCACTAAATAAACTGTACAAGCTAGGGCCTAAAGCTGAACTCCGTGGGATGACAGTTTGCATAGTTACATTGGGGCAGCTTGGCACAATTTAAAGTATGCATGTGCGATATATGATCTAGGTCTGTAGAAGCTGTAAATCACTGTAGTAGCCCATTCTGCAGTCTTTTGGGTGCAATGCTGAGCAGCTGCCCTCCTTCTTGCATAGTTTCCAAACAGTGTTGCTCATTTGGTCACCATAGAACGCTTTACATTTCTTTCAATGATTGCAAAACACTTTGATTAAATTGGGGTGAAGAGGACTGGTGGCGATGTCACAATCTCTAACGCATTCAATAGGAAAAAAAAAAAAAAAGGCGTTGCATTGTTAGAGAAAATGGCAAAGCATTTTCTGAATGGCAGCCTTGCTGAGTATACAACTTCCTTTAACTGCTAGGCAGAAGGACAGCTGCTAGGCACGGCACCCACAGGTAGTGGCAGGGAGCTCAGACTACTACAGTGATTTACAACTTCTACAAAAGCCACTCAGGTTATCACATATGCATACTACTTACAATGTTCAAAGCTGTACATATGCAATAATATCATCCTTGGCGTTCTGCTTTCACCTCTAGTAGTTCAGTGGATATGCAAGTGGTTATAGCAGTGGTCTCCAAACTGTGGCCCTTTGATTTCCTTTATCTGGCCCTTATTCCTCCCTCTGATATGAGGCACCATTCCTTCCACTAACACCAACATTGCAACATAATTCCTCCCACTGATATAAACAACAGAACATTATTACTTCCACAACACTAAAGATGGGGCACTTTTCCTCCCACTGCTCCCATTGATGGTGCACTACTCCTGCCACTGACACCAATTCTGGAGCACCGGTCCTTCCCTGACACCAATGTTGGGGCACATTTTCTCTTTCATTGATACCACTGTTGGGGAACCATTCCTTCCACTGACACCAATGTTAGGGCACTATTCCTCTCACTGATACCAAAAATAGGGCGCTATTCCTTCTACTGACACAATCATTGGGCACAATTTCTGCTGCATTTTCCACTCACACTGGTTACAGTCCACCCCCCCTTAAAGTCAGAAGACCAGAAAACTGGCCCTTTGTTCAGAAAGTTTTGAGACCCCTGGATTGTAGGATAGATACCAGAGTGTACCTGTAAACAGGTAACATACAGAACAGATACCAATGATTAGTGGTATACTACAGGGCTCATTATAGGTATTGAAAAGTTTAAGGTCTGCTTTTTTGCTGAAGCAAAAAGGTGTTTAATAGTGTTCATATTCCTGTGAGTTTAAAACAAGTTTTTTTTTCACATTGCTGGAAGATTGGCCAAAGCAATAGAAACTGCACCAAAGTTTTCATCTGCAAAATAATGCATACTTTACAATATTGGGGGTATGGGGCAATATAAACCTACAGAAGAGAAAAAGAAAAAAGAGGAAGAGGAGGAGGAATTCTCATTTCAGATTATTGCAAAAAGAGCACAAGGGTGTGTTCAGGTAGTGGGAGAAGCAAACAGAAGTCTGGAATACACCAGCTGGAGATCCTAATTCCACTATATAACAGATTTAGTGTAAGCGGAAGTAAAAAGTCCGCTTTTTGATTTATACCTACAGGTAAGCCTATAATAAAGGCTTACCTATAGGTAGAGTAAATATCTCCTAAATGTGCACAGTTTAGGAAATATTTACTTTAGTAGTAGCCGGTGATGTCACCAGCGCATGTACACTGCGCTTTGAAAGGACAATGCCATGATTCCCATGCGCATGTGTGGGAGTGACGTGAAGGTGGAAGATGGAAGCTCCGGCAGCAATGACAGTGGGAGACCTAGTTTGATGGGATAAAAACCTGAAGATCAGTCTACTTATATTTTACCTTCCCTGATTCCTGACCCTCTTCTTATAACATGCAAGTTATTTTAAAAATTAAAATCCTTTCCATTTTCAGGACTTACCTTACGCATTTCCCAGTGATGTCATCACTGACACTCGGTGCGTCTCTATGCAGTGCAGGCATAACATACCTTGTAAGAGAAGCCAGCAGGATGCTGTACATAGATTCCTGATAACATCATCGCGCCCTGCCTCAGCCCTGATTCTGATCACTGATCCAACTTTTGCATGGCTTAGTTTTTTAGAATTACTTGGTACCCAGTGGATGGAATGTGGTTAAAATGGACTGACAAAATGGCATGTGTATTGCCAGCTTCAGGGTGTGAATGAGGTTGAGGGCAGTGTATGTTTAATAAATATAGGTTAGGTTATAGGAGAGGTCGTGAAAGCAAGAGGGAAGTAGCGAATGGGTGTCAGTGTTGAGTGACGGTTGGTGTACAGATGTGGCACAGAACACATGGGGGAAGGCATGAACAGTGGTGAGGAGGTCTTATGCAGGATGGTGAGGATAGACAGATAAGATAGATGTCTCTCTCTCTCTCTCTCTCCTAAATAGAATGTGGATCTTTCTTGGATTGAAAGTTGAACACTCAATGATACCTTTTATTTCGACAAGGCACAAGCTCGTCTTGACTGACTAATTGAAAAACCTTATCATTAAGTGTTCACCTTTCAAGTCCCAGGACTGCTGACAACTTTTGAATCATATGCATCTCATGCTATCCGGAGCCCTTGGGCCCATTTTCTCTTGGATATGTGTGTAGTGGCAACCCACTAAACCCTAGATCTTGTTTTTTTCTACAGTGAGCCTGTCCGCTAGGGTTCCATGTTAACATGCTTAGGGAACAGAAAAGTTAATGCTACATTCAATATCCACTAACAAAATACAAATACAGGAAAGATGATGTACCTTTCTTGAAGTGTGTTCTGGGATTCCTTCAATTTTGCCTTCAGGTGACGGATTGAGACTTCTTTCTGCTGCAGTGGAGTCAAATACTGCTCAGGAGAAGGTGGCTTGATGCCATGATTATCTCCACAAGATGCATATCTCATGGTGCGCCTATAGACAAGCAAAACAAGGTCTTTGATTCACTCTCCTCTCTATCATTATTCACATGATTGGCTTTCCCCTCCAAATCTTGTTATCTATACACTAGAAAAATAGCTCCTATAAAAAGGAGATTAGCTCAGAAAGCTCATCTATTTATAAAGAAGACTAGCATGGGGAACATACTTCTGTTGTGTCTGTTTGCTGGTCGTAACAAACAATATTGTTGGGTAACCCAGGGGTTGTAACGAAATGCCGCAGATCCCCTTATAGGTTACACTATTACCTCTTACCTTCTTTGAGCTATCAGGTTTCAACAAATTAGAATATTTTGGAAATGCTTTTGGAAATGCTTAATAAGCCTACTAGCTTCTTGAACACTAAATAACAGAACAGAAATGAATGTAAAGGAGGAAAATGATGGATTTATCTTGTAATGTGAACATGGTTGATAAATATGAGAAGAAATGGTTTGGGCAAAACATTTCATAGGCCAATTTTAGCTGCCTCCTCTAACAAGCCACAGTAGGGGCAAACTGTGACAGTCTAACTGTAAAAGGAACCATACTCCATAGGCCACCTTAATTAGAAGAGTAGACAAGGGCCATGGTGTCAGTTTTTCAGATTGCTATTGTCCATTGAAGAATTTAGTTTTGTGATATTCTTAATGTTGAACCGATTCATTTTCGAATTAATTTTGTATCTTCGGCATTTGTTTTGTATATTTATTGGTCCGGGTGGATTTGAAAAATTTTGCAGTTTTTCTGGTAGACTGTTCTGTATTAGATATATTAAGGGATTAGACGGATTCAATATTTTTGGACACTAGTCCAAAGCACCAAGAGAAATGGCATGAGCTGATTGGACAATATCGACTGGCGGCATGGGAGTCCAATTCGTTATCTGAATCCCAGTTATCAAACGAATTATAAAAAAAAAAAAAATTAAAAAAATTTCCCTTTTTGCGTGAACTACTACATCATCCAAATGAAGCAAATTTATTTGTTCATTCATTATAACTTTTCTTGGATTCGTTGCCATTTGTTTGGGTCCAAAACGAATCAAAATGAAACGTATCAGGCATGTCTAGTCACAGCGATTAGACCATGAGAAAACCGGCTGTCACAAATTAAGGTTAAAGCCTAATTGAGCAAACACTTTTTCACCTTGTTTTAGTTCTGAACTCCCACTTGTAACAATTTGCCAAATTTTTGATTGGAAATACCTTACAATATCTTTTTGTGAAATTATGTTTCCTGCAATTTCACTTCAGTACTCTGTAGAGCAGAGTAGCAGCCACACCCCTTAGCACAGGTAATTTCACATAGACTTCTTGCAGAAGACGTGGCGATTCTTCAGACCAGGTCTGTTACGGAGTTCAGATAGCAGAGAACACCTGGTCTAACTCTGGTGCTTATTGGACTGCATGGAGTCATGTTTAGACACAACTGCTGTAAGTGCAAAGGGGAGCAAAGCCTAGGAAAATGAAAGTTGTCAGTAGAAGGCTTCTATGACTGCATATCTATTTCTGGGATTTCAGTTGGGCTTTGACTGAAGTCACAACCCTACCCACAGGACATTTGCGGTACCACAATTATTTCTTTTCTCTGCAATCATGTTAGTCTCTGTAACACACTGGTGTCCCACTGAAAGCAAACACTCCCTCAGAGAGAGAGAGCAAACTACAGTGGAGGGCTCATATGAAGCTGAGCTAGAAGATGAAAGTTGGGGACTTGGTTCAACCAAGTTGGTTGATATGCTTCTGTGCTGCCAACCTGGAATCCTAAAAAAACACTGAAAGTTTAACAATCAAATGGCCAGAACTCCCTTTGCGGGACCCCTAAAATGAAGTTGGTCTACACACTGTGTGAATTTCAGCCCATTCCTGTGAATCTGCCAAAAAACTTGAGCCATGGGTTCCATGCCAACACCACCCAATAAAATCAAAGAATCCGGGTGGGGCGGAAAAAACAAAAAAAAAAAAAAAACACACACAATCAGCTGCGGTCACTGTCCAGATATTTTGACAATAATGTGTGCCAGCTGTTAGAATACAATAGTCAGCTGCGGCAGAATTGTCCATCCACGTTGCTTAGAACAAATACTCAGCCTGTTGCCCCAATCCCTTCCTTTAGAAAAAAATGAATGGATAAAGAAATGAGCTACATGGCCTTATGGAGATATAAAAATGAGCTGGTAAAGGTACAGAACGGGGTACAACACCTGAGTGTAGGGCTGGTGTCGCTGCCCTTGTAGGACCCAGAATTACTGCTACTAGGAGAGGAGATCCCATATGCATCATGAACATTAATTGGACTCAACTGATTCCTACAGAGTACTGCAAACAGATCCTTCTCTCGAGTGACAGGCGGACTCTGTGTAGGCTTTCCCGATGAACTGTTGTGACCTCGTCCATGGGACACTCTGCTGAAAAACACACAAATATTTGAACATTAATGAGAACACCAGGCCTCTGATTCCAGATTACACTGAAACAATTTAAAAACTGACTTTTGAGACATCTAGGAGAGTAAAGCATAATATCCATTTTATTCAAGTAAGGGCAAAACTGATGGCATATACACTGAGAAATGTAAAAACTGCATATATTTTCGAGACTATCCAAAATCCACTTACTATAGGATTCTGGACACCCATAGACATGATATAAAAGAGTTGTTTTTAATGGTTGAGAGCTTAGCCTTTCCCTCCTTCTGCACATACCCAGTATTAAGTTAAGTCACCCCCTTTATGGTGATAGACAAAATAGTTAAAAGCAGAACTTGAATACGTGGTACTTTCTGCCTCTCCATCCCGCAAAGCCATAGTGAAGCTGTGACTCATTCATCTCTGGGATTCTTCTACCGTTTTACATTTTGGATAATCCTTCCATTATTGGGCTTAGTGTGGCAATGCTTAAATGAGCATGTGATTATATATTTTTAGTTAAGTTGACTTTTCAATTCCAGATAGGTCATTATTTTAGCACCAACTTGCACCCAGGTTTATGCCTGGTTACTCTAAAAAAGGAATTCAAGAGCGTGTGGTGTGAAAAATTTGGATCAAGAGACGCCTGCATAATAATTAGCCCCTCAGATGCAAACACAAAGATCATTTCATAAGAACATGGGTCTTCACCTCCTATTTTTATTAGGCATTTACAAAGTACAGATAGTGCTGTAAAAGGCTAGATAAAAATTGCTCTGTGAAACTTCATTTAAAAATGTATTGTGCATGGTCCAAGAAATGCAGGCATATTAGGAAGGACAAGCAGGAACAGTTAATATTTAGCTATGTGTGTAAATATTTTTAAGCGTTTATCACGAGCTTCGGTTCTGATTAAAAGGGAAGAGGAAATATTCTACATACAGTAACTCCATTGATGGCAGTTTTCATTAAAAAGAACCTGAACTCACTTTAAACCTTTGGGTGGGTTGAATGTCTTTTGTGGCCAAGGAAGAAGCAAAGCATCAGTGTATTAATACATGAGGCATTGTAAAGGAGAGTATGGCCTTGTCTTTAATAAGGGAGTTCTTTTAAGTACAAGTACTTCTCACTATTACTTTCAGAATACTGTAATGAGTAGCTAGGGGAGTGAACCTAAAAAAAAAGTAAAAAAAAAGGAAATGCTTTTTTTTTTTTTTTTAACTCCTGTGTACTGTAAAGTTGACCACACATACTAATTATCTGAATGTACAATTTCCATGACATGAAATAAAAAAAAGCTATAATCAGGTAGATCAGGACCTTCCAAACTTTCTAAACAAAAAAAAGAGCCAGTATTGTCCTTCAGACCTTTGGGCATCAGATTGTGGCCAGTGGGGAAGAAAATGTCCCAGCATCTGTAGAAGTAAACAATATTTTAGCAATTTTTTTTTTTACTCCCATTGATGACCAAACCCAAGTACCTGTGGTCAATAGGAGGAATAGTGCCCCATCATTGGTATCAGTTGGAGGGATAGTTCTTCATTGTAGGCGTCAGTAGGTATCAGGTGTCTATTGGTGTCAATGGAAGGAAAAGTGCCCCGACAGCTAGATAAAAGCTAGCAAAAGGACACATCTGGCCCATGGGTCGCAGTTGCAGGCCATTGGCAAAGATCACAACCAGCTTCATGACTCTGAACTTGGACAAATCACTTCCCTGCTGTGCTTCAGTGAAGCTACCCATTTTAGTTTTGGGCCACTAGTGAAGCATGGACTCAGGAGAAGGGAATAGCCAGACACTCATGGCACTTGCCACAGTGGTGGTCAACTTCAAAAATCCAACACACAGAGAGATCAGCCAAGTTTGCCTAACTCTATCCAGAACCATGAGATGACAATGGCCTAACCCAACTGTAGAGTCAAAGAAAATCCTTAAAATGGCCAAACCCCAAGAAGATATATTAAAACACCATTTCTTCTATATATACATATCCAAAAAAACTCATCAAATGTGCTTTTACAGAGAACCTGCATATGTAACAGAAACTGCACCAACATCAGCTTTCTGTAAATCTCTACGGAGCAACACTGGTAGAAGTAGGGGCACAATTTTGATTTGATTGGGTCAGGGGATGTAATTTTTTTTGCAGCGCTTGTCAGTCGGTTTCTGTGAATGTGTTAACAGTTGCAAAAAGGCACAGTGATGACCTGCTGCTCATTCATTGTCCAATTACAGGCCAGGACAAGTCCTAAATCAGGCTGACCGATTAACTGTGCAGTTTCCAGGGGAGGGGGGGTCTGGGACCTGGCTGTGCTGGCTGGCAGGGATGCCTAAATCTCAAGGGTCAGTAAGAATTAGAAATCTTTTGGCACATTACATAGATTAATGAATATATTATAATTATATTTAAGGTGGATATTGAGCTGTTTGCCTGGAGTTCAGCTCCAAATTTTGTATTACTATTTATTATTATGCAATGTACAGTATAATAGGACATACCCTAAACTTCAAATACAAGGAACATATACATACTGGAATTGTATTAGAAGAGTATTATATAGACAAATATACATTTACCGGTCCTTTATGATTCTTGAGGTAATATTTAACCACAAACATATATTTAAATACTTCTCAGTGTTCAGGACTTTTTAGGACCTTTTATGCCTGGGAAGGCTAGAACTTAATTTTTGAGAAGTTATAGCTTTAGGGCTTTGCCAAAATCTTCTTCATGATACACTGGGAAGTATGCATATATGAAACATCTAGAGTGGAGTTATGGAACAACGACCACAAAAGGAGGAAAATAAAATAACTACATTTTATTGGAGAAGATGCATACCAAAATTAAAAATGATCACACTCAAATAATTTTTTAAATGATGTATCAATGCTTTCTGGCCAAGATAAAATAAATGAACATGAATAAGTATTTGCCAATTGAAGTGTAGTAATTCACAAGACTCAGGTACTATAACCCAGGTGGAAAAGTCATCACAAATAAAAGATAAAGCAATTATGAGATAGTGAGTGACTTTATATAGTTTTTCTAGCTTTATATTTTGTAGAATGCACCATTAAACTTGTGATTTAAAGTGATCCTTTAACCACAGGGTCACTTGTACTCAAAGAACACACTGTAAAAGGACGGGCTCTATACTTAGCGTTTCTTTGTGTAGAAAAGCCACCTCTGGTTTTTCCCCTGGCCATAGCCGGTATTCCACAATCCGAGTGTGTAGAATACCTGCTCCCCCAAAACACATCATGTTCCTTCCACTGGCTCAAATCACTACAGGATGACAGGAGGAACCAGTGTGTTTGGAGGGTAACAGGTATTCAGCCACCCAAAGGAGCAGAAAAACTGTTGTGACTAAAGGAGAAATAAAGCAGCGACATTTCAACACACTGGCTGCTGAAAAGGTCAGCATAGAGCAGTGGTTCTCAATCCTCAGGACCCACATTTGTTCTTGGTCATTAAGTGGAGCCCAAAAAATAATTTAAAATTTCCAAAACATTAGAATTTATTCCACAAAACGTGTGCAGTATTCTACAATGTATGTGCACTTTTTAAACCGTAAACAAACGGCTTCCTTCCAAAATGGATAGTGCAGTAATCACCCCCCATCACCATCACTTTCCTGTTTTTTTTTCACTCCCTTACATCACCCAGCCACAACCCAGGAAAAGTAATTAGTGGAGTCATTCCCTGGTGTCCAGTGGTGCTTTTCTTCCTTCCTGTGCAGCTGGCTAGAAGGAAGTGTAGTTATATTTCACTTCCACCCAGAGATGCTGCTGTGGAAGGAGGAATGAGGACGAGGGCTGTAGGACCGCCATGTAAGTGCACCGTGGGCACCGCCTTAATGGGATTGGCTGACTGCAATAATGCAAATAAAAGGCCAGTCATAGTTGCAGTCCCAGCCGTCTTCACAGTTCTATCAGTGCAGACAGCGGTTTTTATTGAGCCATGTTGTCAGGGCAATGGATGTTTTATTGGGGCATTAGAAAGGCTTGGGGGGGTACTTGCTCCATGGCCCAGTCTGCCCCAAGTCCACGACCCATTACTTGAAAAACATAAGTACAGAGCATGTTCTTTTACAAGATGTTCTTAAACTCCTTAACATCACCTCCTGGCAACCTTTAATGCAAGCTTCTGTATCATGTGATCATTGTGATTGTTTCAGCGATCACATAATTGGGAAAGTTCCTTTTAAACGTTTTAATTTTTTTTTCCCTTTTGAGTAATATACCTGCACCAGTGGCCCAACTATAGTCATAGCATATACCACACGACTGCTATAGGGTTGACAGTCGGAAGGTGACCCAGCTAGGGAGGTTGCCTGATGTCTCCATTCCAGAGGAGCTGACTTTAGATACACAGAATGAAGCTTTTGTTAATCACAGATCTATTTTCAACAATTGCTGGCTGGGGTGGCTCTAAGATTTTATATTCTGACAGAGCAGTTCAGTTGGTGTTGAAATGAGTTATTGTATGTGCTAGCTGGAGAAAGAAGGTTAAAAAAAAAAAAGTTTCAAAAGTTAGTTCCCTGCACTACTGCTCTTATCCACAGCTCTGGTACCTAGTAGTGTGCCAATTATGCGAACAGTTCTGCTGTGGTCTGTCCTGGATTTAGTCATACTTTAAGGAAGTATTAATTACACTATTGTCCCAACTAGCCCCCCCCCCCCCCCCCGATTAAAATTTGCTATGGGGCTCCAAGAAATGTAGCTATGCCCAGAACATGCACTCAGAGCACATATCAAGCTGCCAAAATAAATAAAGAAAAATTAAAAAAAAAGTTAAGTGAAGAGGACCACATATGTGTGAAGGTGTACCAGAACAGCACAAGGTCTACACACAAATGATGTACAAGGATATGGTGGAGGTACACATGCAGTCACCTCTCAGCTGTGTTCCTCGAGCCCCGTTTCTGAGTTTCTGTGCGGTAGGGCGGTCTTCCAAAACAGGAGAGAGGAAAAGGCCATTTCAGAGAACATTTTATACATACAAAGTAATTCACTCTGCAGCTTTGGAAATGTCATAACAGTGGTCCCCAACCCATATGCAACGATGAGCCTCCTTTAGTGCTGTACAAGGAAATCAACCTGCCAAAACACTGCCAATATGCCTTGGTCCAGGCAGAAAGTATACAATTGTACCCCTAGTTTCTAAACTGATTTGATAATACAAAATACCTACTGAGTGGTTCTAATTTCTGCTCTGGAGGTCATTATATGCAGTTGGCTGCCTCAAGTGCTAAAGCAATTTGCTTATATTCTTACTTTAATGAAAGACCTAAACAAGAACCTCTGAAAGTGAAAGTCAAGTGTTCCCAGATTCAGAGCATTGACCAGCCTCCATGCATCATGTCCCCCTTCCCTCAAATTTAGGGACATCAAAGGGCGGGACACGATGCTGAAGGCCCATTCAGACGTTTTTTTGAAACGCTACTGAACCTTACTGTAAAATACTTTGTAGAACTGACTTGGCATTACAAAACACCTTCTGAGTGGCTCTAATTTCTGCTCTGCTGGTCATCTTCTGTATTTGGCTTCCTCGATTGCTGAATCTATTAGCCCATGTTCTTACTTTATGAAAGACCCTAAACACAAGCCTCTGAAAATGAAAATTAAGTGTTCCGAGATCAAGAGCATTGACCAGCCTCCATACATCATGCCCCCCTTCTCTCAAATTTAGGAACATCAAAGAGGGAGGGGCAAGAGGCTGAAGGCTCATCCAGACGTTTTGTGAAAACTCTACTGAACTTGGCTGTAAAATACGATGTAGAACTCACCATTTTAAGGTTTGCTGGATAGCATCAGTTGTTTATTGACTGATATAAAATTTAAATGGTGGTTAAGAGCAATGAAAGTATGCATTATGCTCCATGTATTGTGCCTAAGGTTTGCATACAGTCAAATCTGAGAACTATGACCGCTTGCATTTATTGCAGGCCTGTCAATTTTCTTAGCCTTTTTTTCAACTGGGTGGAATTTAACCCTTTGGAAGTTCAAGCCCAGGTATCGAAGAGGACTTCCATTAATAAAAGTGGAAAAAAAAAAAATCAAAATGATGTAAAATCAACATATATGTACTGGGCTTCTAAAAAGGGGAACTAAGAGGCTCTGCGTTCAGATCTGTACACCCTCTCCTACCCACATGTCAAGCTTTGACATGCTACTGTGTCCGTGCCAGTATGGCTTGTGCATCCACTTCTATGGGCTGCCTGCATGCAGCTCCAAGGTGGATGCACATGCCTCTACCAGCAGCTCTGCACAGAGGACAGGCTTTATTGTCCATCCGAATGAGTTCTTTGATGTTTTTAATATCTGTATTGAACTGTTTGGAATTCCACTTTATCTTTAAAAAAAGGAGTGTAGATTGACTTTTTAAGTCAAAATGAAAAAAAAAAAAAAGGGATTCTAAAAGGTTGAAATCTTTAAAAAAAAAAAAAAAATTAAAACATGTTATACTTACCTGTTCCTCCTCTTTTTTGGGTCTCCCATTGGTGGTCCTGGCTCCTCCTCCCTGCCGAGTGCCCCCAATAGCAAGCTTCTTGTCCATTGCCGATTTACACACTGGATGAGGCTCGGCAAACACCCCCCCCCCCCCTTTACTCTCTCCTCATTGGCTCACTGGCTGTGATTGACAGCAGAAGTAGTCAGTGACTCCCGCTGATGTGTGAGCCAATTAAGAGAGAGCTCTGGCTCTCATGGGACATCGCTGGATAGAGATTGGGCTCAGGTAAGAATTTGGGGGCTGGGGAGGGGAGCTGCACCCTGAAGGTTTTTTACCTTAAATGCACAGAATGCAATAGGGGAAAAAAACCTTCTGCCTTTGGAACCACTTTAAATTTATTAAGACAAAAAAAAAAAAAAAAATGTGTAAGGTTTAGTAAACCATAGCAGCCAATCAGAATTCATTTTAATTGTTCTGACAGTTCTAAATTGAAAATTGTAAGTGTTTTGGCTGCTGTTGAACTGCAGATCACTTTTTTATATTACGTTCTGTAAAAGTGCAGACATAAGAATGATTTCTTACTTGCGTGAAAACGAATTTTTCTTTCCTCCAGACGTAGTGCTCATATGGACCTCTGGTGCAGATATACTGCCAGTGCTACTTGACGAGCTGAAATCTGCTTCACTTCCTACATCCAAAAATACAGAGATAAAAACATTTTTACTGCCAAAAACCTGTGCAAAAAAGCATAAAATGATTAATTTCATCCAGAAAGAAACCTGGTATGAATACATTTTACAAATAATGTCACATTTAGAATACAAAATAAAAAAATAGTTGTTAAAAATTAATTTGCTGGGAAAATGATTGGAAAAGTAAATTTGAATTAACAATTTAAAACTTAAATAGTGTCTTTTATTTAATATTCAGTCTCCAAGTAACCACATGTGTATTCTGCCATCTTGCAGGCCTTGCCACTGTGCTCCGCATACAAGAAAGACATTTTACAGAGAGAAAGACCTAACCAAATCGCTGAATCAACACACCTGTCAGTGTTCCCAGAAACTGCTGCCAATTATAAACTATACAGCATACAAACAACTTCAGTGCGTAAGTCAAACCTACAAATTTGTTTAAAAGAGATATTGACTTTATCCAACCAGGGCACTGGATCACACACACAATGGTAGACACAGCCAGGGGCATATTTACCGTGAGGCTAACAAACTTTTTCAGGGGGGTCCTGGAAGAAGGAACACACATAATGATGGGAACCCAGTGAGGAACTGCATGAGCTTTGCTCTGCCACTGACAGCCGTGTGCCATCCGTTGGAACCATAGAGAGCCAGCCATGGGACCTGCTGTACTGAGTCTCACCACCCTTGCCACCACTACCTGCCCAAACGTGGCAGTCCTATGACCAGCGGGGAGCTAGACTTTCCAGATGGTACACAGGGATTGCTGAGAGAAGTCTGCTACACTCGTGTGACAGGCGGCTGTCTGGGGGTGCGGGAAGATGGTGGCTTGTGGGGGAGACAAGTGCTGCTGCTGTGGGGAGGGGGAGAGCCACACCCCAGAGGAGCTAGTGAGTGTCGCCCAACCCCAGTCATACCCTGTGAACACCCAGCTTGTAATTTGTCACCATCACAACCTCTATTGTGTACAGACCTGCAACCCTGGAGACCAACATACACTCCATTACATCCCACTATACCCTGTATACACTCCTCATACCCTGCATACATACATCCACTCCCTGCAGACCTGACACCAGCCAACACTCACCATTACACCCCAACATACCCTGCCAGCACCTCTCACCCTACTATATTCTGCATACACCAATCACATAAACCCTTCTGCACCTCTCACCACCAATCACACTCCACTACTCCTGCTTACACCCATCACACCCTTCCTACAGCTATGGCCCTCCATCCTACCCTGTATACACCCATCACACACCATAATACACTGTACACCCCCTCTTCATTGTCACCACCCTAGTTCCTACTGTCACCATGAATCCTCTCTCTCATTGAGGTCGGAGGGGGGGTTTACACATTGATTTTTGTGCTGGACACAGTGACATACGGGCTGCATCTGCAACCAGCTATTTATCGTGAATATCAAACATTCAACAATGATGGACTTTTAATACATTTTTATGTAATGCACACTATAACCACAGAAAGGAATAACCAACGATTTGCTAAATAGTAGTGACTTCTAACAAAGGGTAACAAAGGGTATACTTTTTTTGCATCTTACTACACTCTTTGAACAATAATACATTGCAGAAAGTGTGTGGTTCGTGAAAAATCACATCACCTTCCTTCTCCATCTCATTCAATCAATGTATTGTATTCATTATCAAAAAAAAAAAAAAAAAAAAAAAAAAAAAAAAAAGTGGTTTTGTGAATGGTGGAGGTGCCAACTGAGCGACCCCCCTGTGGTCAGTATACAGTGGGGCAGCCGCTCGGGACAGGACCCAGAAGATTACTATGATCATTGTATTGTGCCTTCTACAAGGTCAGCTTCCACAGCAGTCCCTCAAGAATGAAACATGCATACTTACATTGTGCCAAGCTGGACCAAAGCAAGTATGCAATTGAGATCATATCTGGAGTTCAGCTTTGTTGCCTGCAATCCCTGAAAGCTTTCTGTAGCATTGCATTCAATGATTATGTGCAGCCCTTTAGTGATGTCAGTGGCCAGACTCACACCCCTAATTTAAAAAGTGTTACTAAACTCAGTGCCCTGTATTCACTAGATCTGGTTTCCCACAGTACACACAACATGGAAATGCAATTATTATATATTATGTTTAATTATAAACTGCTAAATACTTTCTCGTCAGCAGTATATAGCAGTCTCGTGACTTCTATCAGTATCTGGCTGAGCACTGGTTAAAGCTTGTAGGAGGAGTTTTCATTCTCCTCTGATTGTCCTATGAGGCTACATAACTCCTGACCCTCTGTCTGAACAGCGTTGATTGCCTTGTGCTGATTACATGCACTATCCCAAAGAGAAAAAAAAACCTCTAGCAATACACACTAAACTGATCATATGCAGTGTGACTCCTAGAGCTCTGTAGTTATAGCAGATGGCTTGGGGACAGTAAAAGAAAGGAAGGAAGGATCAAGGAGGACAGAATCAAACAGTCTTTTCACGCAATGTGGCAGATTAACCCCTTAGGTTCCACAGTGAGTATGATGAGCATGCTTTACTGCATATACAGACTGATTTTATGGTTGTGGACCAAATTTTCAAACAACCATCAACTGAACAGTTGTGGCTCTTCATACAGTGTTAGTCAATTCTAAAATAAAAGGTTCTGCTAAAATGCATAAACTTAGTAATAATATATCATCAGCTTTGAACAAGGTCCTCAACCTGCTTGTGGAAAGGTGAACACATCTGTGTGATCAAAGACAAGGCATTACAATAGATGTGCTAATAGAATGAAAGCCCCAGTTCAATGAACCCATCTGAGTTCTAAAGTTACACCTTTCAGGTATTTGCCTTCCAATATGGCCAGATTGAATCAAACCAAAGAAATGACAGCAGTAGGTACCAGAGGGTTTGATTAATAGAGCACCTAGCCAACTGAATGTTCACTTTGAAAGTTACCGAAGTGCGGTGAAGCTGTGTTCAAGAGGAATACCCAATAATATGCAAGAGAAATTAAAAACAAAAAAACAGAATGTTTGCTGGCAAATGATTGTGTATTCAACGTGAACAAAATTTTACTTTATTCATTCACAAAAAAACATACCCCAATCATTTGGGAACTTTGGCCATGAGGTGGAGTCCCTCAAAAAGGTCAAAGGACTTCAGCCATACACCCTGCCCCTCATTTCTGCAAAATACCAGATATCAAAAGTCACAGTGGGTACTTGCTCTTGCCAGCGCAGGATGGCCATGCATGTGCAGGAGTTCACTTATCCCAGCACCAAGGTGCCATGCCGAGAATGTACCCTGAAACTGGGTATACATGGTTTAATGTACATTCTAAAGCAACTCTGACCCTTTTCTTGCCCTTCTCCAGCCCTTGGGGCACTGGGTCCTCCCACTGGCCCCCCGACGATGGGGGCACTGGGCAACTCTGACCCTTTTCTTGCCCTTCTCCAGCCCCCCCCCCCCCCCCCCAACGATGGGGCCACTGGGTCTTCCCACTGGCCCCCCAACGATGGGGCCCTGGGTCCTCCCACTGGCCCCCCAACGATGGGGCCCTGGGTCCTCCCACTGGCCCCCCAACGATGGGGCCCTGGGTCCTCCCACTGGCCCCCCAACGATGGGGCCCTGGGTCCTCCCACTGGCCCCCCAACGATGGGGCCCTGGGTCCTCCCACTGGCCCCGCAACGATGGGGGAACAGGTCCTCTGACATCAATGATGGGGCCACTGGTCCTCTGACTGACACCAATGATGGGGCACTATTCCTGTGACTGACACCAAGGGGCACTATTCCACCCACTTTAACACAATTTGTTAAAGTCCTTACAAAGTCCTTCTCTATTTTTATCAAAAGCAGTACTTGGAAAACAAGCCCATGTACATCAGATGTGCAACAGAACTTGATGTCATTGAGACAAAAAGTACGAACATCAAAGGATCAGCCTGACGTTCATGTAACTGGCTTTTTTTCGGTCATCACCAACAGCAGCCTTTCTGCTTTAACAGAACACTTGCATCTGATTCTCCCCCCTCGTTTAATTGTTGTCCCCTTCAGGGCTTGTGATATGGAAGTACATTGAGGCAGAATCCGCCTGTTTGCAGAGATGTGCCGCATATCAATTCTTTCCCTGTCGGCAGAGCGCAGATCCTAGGCTGGTGTTGTCATGGAGACAGACGTTAATGCATCCTTTTCGCTCGCAGGTCAAGTAAGCAAATGAAGTCAGCTCCATGACAACAGAGAGCAAAAAGGGAAGCCTGAGCCTATCAGAGGACAGGCAGTGTGCCGCAGCTGTTCAGCTGAAAGGTAACAATTTATATTATGGGCTGTCTGCTGAGCAGAGGTTAAAAGATAATGGCTGCAGTAATGAAAAGAAGCCATTTCATAAAGAAACCATGAAGGAATCTTCTTGGCTGATCCTTTCAAGCTGCAGTCCCTGAAAACACAATTAAATCTGGATCTGGTGAAAACCACCACCACCCCACTCCACCATTACAAGGAATCTGTAGACAAGTTGAGGGAAAAAAAAAACAAAAAAAAAAAAAAAACCCATGGTCATTAATTGATGATCTTTCTGAAAATGTCACCTACCTGGCTGTAACATGGATCCTCTGGTTTCAATATTATGAGCCACGGTCTATACTTAAAGTGGTTGTAAACCTTTGAAATGAACAAAGGATATCCTTCTATAATGTGTACTTGCCTCTATCCAGAGCACCTAGTGTGATTTATGTCTCCTCTCATTCCTCTGCTAACTGCATGCATCACTTCTATGCAGAAATAAGGCAATTCCAGGAGATGGGCCCCGTTTTACTGGCACATAGACGGCCTCAGATGTGCATGTTTCCTTATGAGACTGTAGAGGAAGCGTGTGTCCATTTCCTTCACTCAGGTCTCAGATTACACTAAGCCATCTGTTGGGCAGTGTGATGCAGGTACACAGCTACAACATACATAGGAGAATTTGCTTAATCTCTGCATACTGCCTGAGGCCAATCACTTTACTGGGTACTTATAAGGGTTTATAACTACTTTAAGTTTACAAAATCACTACACTTGCTGTGTACAGGTGACTCAGAATGGAATGGAATGAAAAAAAAAAAAAAAAAAAAAAAAAAAGGGGGGGGGGGGGGGGGGGGGGGGGGGGGGGGGGGGGGGGGGGGGGGGGATCAGTATGCATATAGTGAATAAGTGAAAAATCTGTGCTTAGTATTACAATATAAAAATAAAATATGGAATCTGTACACACAAACCTGATGTATAAGATCTTCAAAATTAAAATAGTTTGTTCCACCATGCATCCTGTGTATTATGTCCAACAAATAAATTCCAATGTCCTCCAATTCCAAGCAGGTAAACTCCTCTGACTCTCCATCACCAAAAGCACTAAAAACCACTTATCAGCTCAGGATTGAAGGGGTCAAACCTCAGCTCAGGATTTAAGAGGTCGAACCACACTGTATAGAATGATTTCTATACAAGATAATTAAAGCTGCATGCCACAATCCCATTCATAATATTCAATATTCCAGTTCCCCTTTGATATACAGTACATACATAAAATGTGAGAAGGTTCCAAACGATGCAGATCCAAGACATTTATTAAAATCATACAAAACTAGTAAAATAAATTGTATAACATGCACAAAAAATGCCTTCATTAAGTCATTAGGACGTGATGACGTCAGCATCATAGACTTCTCCCTATGTGTTTAGTCTCGAGGGACAGTGTCAGGAAACACCACATATACTATTCTAAATGATGAACATGACTAAACAGCTAATCAACATTTTGTCTAATTTGTAATTGTATATGAAGGCAGCCATATTTGCGTATTGCACATCTAGGCTCTGCTTCCTTTTATAGCTGCCCATACTGGAACAGATCAGGTCATGAAGAACTTCTACATAATCAAGACAAAGGCTTCATGCACATGGCAACATTAGGGCATGTGGCATGCCTGGAGCATAAATAGATGGTTAAGGAAGCCAAAAGAGTGGCGTACAGCTTCCAAATGCTATAAAAATGGTTGTGCGTTGCTACATGAGGGTTTACACGGAAATTTGCACATGAGCAGGAGTTATAAGCATACGCAAAATTTATGCAAGTGCAGGTGTAAACCATTGTATAGCAGCATAGAGTGCAGCCATTCATTGCAGCAAAAGGTTGCACCTGTGGCACCCTGATTCTGGCTATTTATACGCCATGCATCCTGTGGCCGTGTACATGAAGCATCAGACAGAAATGGCCAGTCCAGATAAAGTCAGCATCCCGTTACAAGCACAAACAGAAACAGCCCCCAGCTGACAGCATCTCCCAGTGACAGACGTTTAATATTTAAGTAGATATCTCTTGTCTTTAAAAGGCCAGTGTGACTTATAAAAGGGAAGATACTCAAGAAAGGCTTAAAATGGGAATATAAACAAGATCTGTACAAGCTGGCCTGTCTTTGACCGAAATGGGAACTCACCTCGCATCTTGAAGGATTGTGGGCCTAGAAGAAACAAAGACAGTACAAAGAACAGAAGAGGAGGTTAGTGGGACATAAGGGTGATGTGTAATGGCAACACAAGGACTATGGCCATGACTATGAAGTGTTCCACAATGCAGAGATGGGATTGGTACAGATGCCATGGCACAGACGCCTAGGTATATCCACAAAAAAAAAAAACACAACCACCAGTTCCATAACAATGGAAAAGATAGGTAGCAGGACGGTTAAATCAATAAATCTGCAAACAGTGACAGGTACCCTTTTGGTCATTATGTATTCTTTCACAAATAATCCATTTTATCAGTAATATTTAAAATACATGCATCATAAGAATGTATCTTTTTTATAATGCTTTATTAGCTTCCCATAATTTTACCAGATATTATGCCAAGTGTGAGCCAATAACTGGACATGTGTGAAATTACGTATAAGGAACGATCGTTCGATTTTCCTATAGCGTGGATTTTCCAAATTAACATTTCCAGACAGGAAAACGCCAAAATTTCTAGTACGTAAACAGAACTCAATTTTTTATAATGTATACTATACAAGAAAAATTGGACACGATGTGTATGATCAAAAAAAAAACAACAACAATCTATGCTACAACATTTCTATGTTAAAAAAAGCCTTTGTTGTTCAAGAATTTTCGCACAATTCGTACCATCCTTGGGTTCAACTTGCTGTGAAACATTGAGGAAAACTGGATGATTGTTTGCTCAATTTTCTTATAGTGGGAACTCAGCTTAAGTCTTTATAGATATGACTGGAATCATTTATAATTTATTACCACTCAAATGTAGGATGTGTAATTTTTATGCAGTTGTATAAAGTTATCTTGGCAAAAAAGTTTAAACCACCAAACTTCTAACGGATTATCATGGCATGTTTCCTCCAGCACCATAACCAGTTTGATTGTTCCATTAAGCCACTTAAATTGCTTTAAAACGTGCTCATACTAATGTATGGAGCTTGGCTTAGGAAATACAAGTGGACCCTTGTTTGCTCTTACCATTTAATTTTGTTGATAATCCATATATTTCAGGTCGAGAAATTTATTTTTGGTGTCAGGATCCTAACACGGTGTAAAACAAGCATGGGCATCATGGTATAACCAGTCGGATACATCCTTTAGAAGCATTTTCAGGATGGCCTATAATGGGGTCATTTGAGAAATGGTCACTGAAGTAGAACACCATCCAAAACTGATATTTCAGAACTGGGTGGGCTTGGGGAGTTCTACTGCTCTCCCATGCCTTTTCTTAGATTTTTCAGAGATTCCAGCAAGGATGCATCCCCACATACATTTCATGCTCAGGCTTCTTCCATTCATTCTTTCATTGAGCCCGATATTACTACTTGTGCCATGGGGAAAGAAGGGAGAGATTCTTCTGGAGTCCGTGAGTGGTGGAAGCAGTGGTGTACTTATGTACACCCTAGGCAACACAAAAATAGCCGCCCCCCCAGTGCACCCCCACTGTCTCTAGTGCACCAACGTTTGCTGGGTGGAACTTAGTGGTCGGCCACATCTTTCTGTGAAGGTGTCGGTGGTGGTAGGAGCGGCGAGACGGTGTCATTAGTGGTAGAGCGGCGAGACGGTGTCATTAGTGGTATGAGCGGCGAGACGGTGTCATTAGTGGTATGAGCGGCGAGACGGTGTCATTAGTGGTATGAGCGGCGAGACGGTGTCATTAGTGGTATGAGCGGCGAGACGGTGTCATTAGTGGTATGAGCGGCGAGACGGTGTCATTAGTGGTATGAGCGGCGAGACGGTGTCATTAGTGGTATGAGCGGCGAGACGGTGTCATTAGTGGTATGAGCGGCGTGAAGGTTGTCAGTCACTCACCTGGCAGTCTCTCTCTGGTCAGTCTGTCAGCTCTCCGCGCCCCCACACAAATATACATGGTACACACAGCAGTAGGATGGAGATCTCTCACCAGGCCTGGTGGAGGGGCGGAGCCATGTACTGCCGGTATGTATCCTCCTCACATCCACATTTCCCTTCCCTCTCTGTGACAGAGATCCCTGCCTCCGCTGGACACTGCCGTCCTCCGGGATCCTCACTCAGCCCTGCCTCCTCACTGCCATCCACTGTGGAGAGCTCCGACCCTCAGAGCAGCCTACAACCTAGCCGGGCACACTGCATGCTGGGAGCTGTAGTCCTTTCCCCACACACCCTGCCAGGATTGTAGTTTGCTCCTGTGGAGGTGGCAGGTCGGAGGCGGGGGAAAGATTACAACTCCCAGTATGCAGTGCGCCTGGCCAGGCTGTAGGCTGCTCTGAGGGTCGGAGCTCTCCGCAGTGGATGGCGGTGAGAAGCCAGGACTGAGAGATGATCCCGGAGGATGGCAGTGTCCAGGGGAGGCCTGATACTCCCACTCCTCACTGGATTCCTCTGCTGTAGTGACATCACTTGCCGAGGTGCAGCGCCGCCCCTCCTGAAAAGTGCTGCCCTAGGCAAGTGCCTTGTTTGCCTCGCAGCAAATACGCCCATCGGTGGAAGAAGCTATCATGTGAATGAACCTTCCAGTACCCACAGAAAATTAAGAAATATTCATTTTTCGGTAGAGTTGACCTTTAAATTCCTAATTATAGAAAGCCTTAAAATCAACCAAGTCAACTGTTTTATATCCGCTCTAACTTTTTTAAAACTCAAAACAAGCAGCTTTCCAGTAAAAGGCCTTCAATTGTTGTACAAGAAAAGTGAAATCTATTTTGGTGGACACACCCTTCCTTTGCTTTTGTTCTTCACGTACTGTACATCAGACGACAGCAGCCTCCTTTTCCTCTTTAATTTAGAAACAGACACAAAATCATCTTAAAAAAGGAAAGGAAACTTGTGATGAGCAATTCAAGAACCTGCCATTGTTTGCTTTTTTCTAAAAATAACAGTTACCTGTCTGTTGTGCTGATCCAGAAACTTCAGTACTAGGAGTCACGGATAAGGGAAAAGTAAAAGGTTTTTTTTAGAAGGAAGCCAGCAATGCCAGGCTCCTACGGATCACATGATTCTCTGATTGCTTCATTATTTTTAAAATCATTTGACAATCAGATGAAGATATGAATTACAACTAAAGACTCTTATGTGACAATCTGAAGGAGTACCAAAACTTCAGTTACCATGTAATGCACAAGCCTCATTGAAGCCAAATCCTTCATTTGTGTCTCACACACTTCCCTTCGCACACATTGCAGCTCACAGTGGGAGGGTTTCAGAAACAGTGGCAGAGCTGTCAATCCAGAAAACAGTGGGCAGGACAAGGTGTGGCTAGGTGCTGATTGACAAGATACAGGCTTGTGAATCAGGACAGAATCTAGGCTATCTGGGGGTGCAGTAAGTCAGGGAACACAATGTCAAAACTGTGTGTTACTGACAGTCTGTCACAGTGTCACGACTTGGGTAAACACTAGTATGTATTAGGCTGTCAGAGTAGGGTGCTTAAGCAGACCTTGCGCCCACAAGATTTCCCTATTAAAAGTCCCCTTTACATCAGGATCCCCAACAGAGTGGTGCCTTACATCAGGATCCCCAACAGAGTGGTGCCTGCCTTACATTAAGTGTCCCCTTCAGAGTTCCCCCTTGCATATCTTCAGTTACCCCCATCAGAGAGCCCTCTTACATCATCAGGTGCCTCTATCAGAGTTCCCCCCCTTACATATCTTCAGTTATCCCCTCTTACATCAGGTATCCCCATCAGAGTGCCCCTTTACATGGATTGTTCCCATCAGTGTGCTTCCTTTTGTAGCACCCCCCTAGTTAGGTGCTAGGATGTGTATAGTTAGGTTAAGCATAGCTGTTTTTATCTGCTTACCAGAGGGGTCATCAGGTACATTCAGTGTGGTATTCTGCTTAACAGAGTGCTGTGATTGAGGAGTTAGGTCTGCTCATGCTGCTCTGGTGCTGTTGAGTTTGTCCGAGTTCTGCCCACCTTCAGGAAGCTATGAGAGCCTTCCAGAACATGACAAGGGGCTAGGGAAGTGCACAGCATGATAATGGATACAGCCCTGGCTAACTGAAGGAGGATTGCCCCATTGAATGCTGAGAGTGGTATTTATATTCTGAGAGAACATGGGTTCAGTGTCTTTCCTGAGAGTAGATTGCATCAAGCCAGGCTTGAGGTAGGCTGCCACGCCTGGCACTTGCTGCCATGTAGCCCAGCCCCAGCCTCAAGTGGGTCAACCTGAGGGCCTGAAGTTAGAGAGAGTGACCCTGGGTCTTCAGTAAGCTGACTGAGGGGAGTGGTATGCCAAAGCTCTGTCTGGTATCACAAGAGGGTTTTGCTTGGAAGAAAACAACCAACCATTCTGTCCTTGGGCCTTGTGAGTACTGACGTTGAGAAATTTGGGGACATTGTGTTCTTGCTAACCCCCCAGGTGTTTGATAACCAGCATGGGTCTGGAAAAAAGGGAACACTGGCTGGTGTTCTGAAGAGCTTGTCCGAGTGTTGCTACTGCAAAGGACTATGCTTGCTACGTTACCTTTGGGCTGTCACAGTCGGTTGTAACTGGCTTATACCTGAGGATCTCAGCCCTGTAACTACTACTACTACTGCAAAAAAGGGACTTTGCTCACTTATAAAATACTTGTTGCTACAAAGTAAAGGGAAGTATGCTGTGTCAGCTAAGACTTCAAAAGTGCTCAACTAAGATCAGCTGGACAGTGAGTAGTGAATAGTTCTACTTTTGGAGTATCCTAACTACAATTCCCCATCCCTATGCCCAGTTGTATAATAAAACTCCAAAATCATCCCCTAGACTGGTCATTGGAGACGACAAGCAGAGGCGTGTAAAAAAAAAAAAAAAAAAAAAAAAAAAAATTATTATATATATATATATATATATATATATATATATATATATATATATATATATATATATATATATATTTTAGCCTTCTACAGTTAGTCTATGATGCGGTCACCTCCTTTTCCCTTTTAGCGCCTCTTTTGCTGCCCTTTTGCTCAACCATGACCCCACGTGACTGCTCTACTGTTCTCCAT